TTTATTATATTTTAATTCGAATTATATATATATATATATACATATATATATACTTTAAATTTAATAACATATTTTTTAAACGTGGTAAAAGAAAAAGAAAAATATTATTTGCAGGCAATGAATGATCATATAGTGCTATGTTATGTATCATTTGTAACACAATATTTATTGATTTTAGGGCATCTTGGTAAGTAATAGAACTATGGAGGTATAAAATAATAAAAATTTCAAAACATGAAAATAACAAACGGTTCTTAACAATAAGTTGAAGTGCAGATAGACTCTATTATTGTAATCACATCATTTTAAACATAACAGAAATTCAATTGTAAAGCATGATTTATTCCTGATATACTGTATACACACACACACACACACACATATATATATATATATATACCAGCATGATCATGAACTTACATCAAGTCATATATATATATATACCAGCATGATCATGAACTTACATCAAGTCATATATATATATACCAGCATGATCATGAACTTACATCAAGTCATAAAGGTATATATACAAATGGATAGCAAGAATAATGAGGAAAACAAGTTGAAAAGTTGCTGCATTGTGATACATCATATGGAACAATTGACTGTGATGCATGCTATATTCTCCATCTCATGCTCCATAGATGTCAAAGCAATGTAGAGGGGAGGAGTTACCAGTGGTTCTAGATCAATGGTGTTGGATTTGAGATTGAAAAACCAAATCCAATTCTTCAGAATTTGCAATTATGTTGGAGCAAACGGACGGACCGGCGCTCCTCTCGAGCATCTTCGGGCTTAACCTTGTGCACTACAACGATTCCACAGTAAACGTGTTAAGCAGCGAATGCAGAAGAACCAACGAGCGGGAACGGAATGCGAGAGAACGAGGGGAAGGGAGCAGGGAAGGATGGCGAGGAGAGGACACCGAGAAGGCGCGGGGGAGGGGGGACCAGGGCTGCATCACGAGACTGCAGCAGCTCCATGGTGGAGCGGCGGAGGCGTTGGCGGAGGATGCGAATGAGAGGCAGGGGAGGGGGCGAGGAGGGGGAGTCTGAGGATGGTGATGATGAGCCAGTGTAGCGGGGGCAGTGCGGGGGGCAGGAGCGGAACCGGCCGCGGGGCCGCGGGGGCTTTGGCGGGGCGGGACCGGCGTCGTAGAATGGCGTGGTGAGGCGTCTGGCTATGGAGAAAGAGGGGGCGTTGCGGGGGGGCACGCGCGGGTGGTAGGATGCGGGGCCGGGCGAGGGGTCGAGGTCGGGGCTGAAGTAGGTGCCCTTGATGTAGACGGTCCAGAAGGAGTCGAAGGTTTCCGGGCCGGGCCCCTGCGCCTGGGGGTTGGTCTTGAACTGGTGCCTCTCGTCCTTGATCGCGCCTGGCCCGGGAGACATGGACTTGTGGAAAATTGTCATCCCCCCTCTCCTCTATTAATTATTTGGTTAATAATCAGTAATTCATTCAATCAATTAACCTTCTTACTGCTCCTCGTTCATCTCTGTTCCGCTCCCCCCACACCTTCTCCCACCCTCTGAACACTTGCAATATTCTGCATTTCATTAGTAAACGCAGTCTTGCTCTCTAAAGTAATATCAATCTCCATTTCACAAAATAACAAAATAAAGAAAGAAGATGAAGAAGAAGAAGAAGAAGAAAAAAAAATAATTGTGTGTATATATATATTTATATTTATATTTATATGTGTGTCAATATTGTTGTAAACATAAATTGAAAGGAGATGTTCAGATTTGATTTCTTTAGAAAATACCAAATTGCTCTCAATTAGTCAACATTCTATATGATTTTGATATTGATTTATTTTCGTTCTTATTGTGGTTCAATATTCAACACCATTTAACGTACTATTGGAAAAGAAAAAGAAAAATAAAAAATCAACCTAGCATGTATAGACATAAATAACAGCAATATAATCAAAGCAAATCCATTGCAAAATAAAATGATAAACTGAAAACTAACAAACCATTTTTTCATAAATTGTTTGAATCTGCACATGCAATTCAGTGTAGTATTCTGTATCTTTGTGGTGAATCCAGATTTTTTAATGAAAAGGTAGGTTAATAAAAAAAATGTACAATTGAACAATGAAAAGATGCACCTCCTACCAAGAGGTGGATATTTCACATAAATTTAATTTTAATTTTAATAAGACATACATGCTTCTACACAAGTATGTACACATTTATTAGTTCTAAAATACCCATTATATTATTCACGCTAAATATAAACGTAGCATTTTTGGAAAAAGTAAAAATAAATGTGCAACAAACAGCTTGTAAGAATGATATCAAATATATTCTAAAAAATTATTAAATAAAAATATTTTTAAAAGTAGAAATGTTATTTTTTATAAAATGTGTAAAATTTTAAAATTCTGTAATAATTTATTTTTATTTGAAATGTAAATCTGGGATGTGCATTTATATGTTTATTTATTTTTGCAAGATATAGATTATATTTATTATTCACACCAATATAAACTGATAAGTATAAAATGCAATTAAAAAATTTTATACTCTTAATATTTTTGTATTAATATTATCCATTTATTTATTAATCTATAAACTTTTAAACACTCTTTAATTTAGAACTTTGATGGAACCGTTTTGATATCTGATAGCTCAATTTTATTCAATTATATTCAAGTTAAAACACTCTTTAATCATAGAAATAATACGCAAACAAATATAAAATTTGAATTTAGATTAGAATTTAACAAAAACATTCATAAAATCAAAAATAACTCAAAGTCCTATATCTATTAATATAGGACTTGAATTCACCAAGAGGGTGACAGAGGTGATGATGATGATGATGATGATGATGCTTCACACCCTTCCGTTGCACACACACATGAGGACGGAGAAGGCAATGCCAACAGCCACAGCCGCGGTGCTGCATCATATCACACACACAGACAGAGCGAGACAGAGAGTATGAATCGTGTACATAGATACGGAGCACTGGGATTGGATTATGCAACATCACAAACATATACATATACACTCACACACTCACTCACTGGTCAACATCCTTTTCCCTTTCCCTTTCCATTTCCCTTGTTCCTTTCCTGGTGGGGGGGGGGGGGGGGGGGGGGTTTGTCTGTCTGTCTGCAAGCAAATGACAACTCTCTTGCGTCGCATCTTTCCTCCACTCCGCTGGAGTCATCATCATCATGGAAGCCGAGGTCTATGATAATCTCAACCTGCAGGACAACTGTCTCGTCCGCTCTTGCCTCTCCAAATTCGGTACTTCATCATCGCACTATCCTCAACCGACCATCATCCCTCCCACTCATTCCTTTCCCTCCACGTTTTTATTTCCAGACCCTTACATCCACACACACCCACCCACACAGATGGTTTGCTTGAGTATGTGTTGCAGTGCTTAATAGTTTCGGCATATGTTAAGGATACTACAGGTTCTTCCAACAAACATCGTGACGCGGAGGCAGTTGTATACAGTTCTGATTGTGGCTTAAATCGACTTGGGCATTTTGGGCAGGTGCAGAGAAGGAGTACGTAAAATTCAGCGGGTATGTAGTGAAATTCTATGGTCCTTTTAGCGTGAACAAGTTTCTGCAATGGCTGAGGATGGGGACGAGAGTGCTTCTCATCACTAACGCCGCTTTGTACAACCTCAAGGGTGACAACTTCGACTGCCATCGCCGTCTCCCTCTCTCCAAAATCTCGTCGATCATCCGATGCTACCTCAGGCAACAATTTATTATCAAAGTGAAACGGGTACGTGCTCGAACCGGATAAATTGACTTATCCAAGTCAGATTTGATCACTTGCTGTGTAACCGTGTCACAAGTTCCTCGGCACTTTGGCACGAGATATAAATGATGAGATCTGAAACGGCAAAGGCTTGAATCAGAAGCATGACTTCACGAAATTATGCGTGCTACGCTGGTGCAGGAGAAAGCGCGCAGCTATTTGAGTGAGGAAGTAAGTGTGATCTGCGACAGTATCCGATTTGCTCAAGCGGTCAAGTGCCATGCAGCATGCCCAATAACATACAAGGTATACTGTTTTTCTTAAGTTTCAGAATGCACCAATTTCCTGCTTGACAACAGAAATTATTCGACAAATTACAGTGAACTTCGTTCGCAAGAATTTTGTGGATTGTAGAGTGGCAAGAAAAGTATCCACCATATGGACTTTGATTGTTATTATTATTATTCTCATTCTGGGTCTTGTAACTCCTACTTCGCCAAAATACAGGAGTGCATCGAGGGTGAGATCTACGTCGGCAACACAAGAGTACTTTAGTCAGGGTTTGAAGAGAGATTTTGGTTGTCAGTGATCCTTTTCTCATAACGGTCTGGATTGATAGTCCATCGACTATGTTGAATGAGCAAGTTGTATTTTTTTGTATTACACGTTCCATGACGCCTAAACCATGTAAGGTGTGCAGAAGAAAAAAGAGTTGAACAACTTTGTGCTGCGCATGGCGAAGCACACCCTCAATAGAATAAACGCCAAGGTACGCCAAGTCTTCTTCATGCAGCTTACCAACATGAGTTTACTTTCTGAGAGGTCTCTCTCTTGTGCTTCTGATTCCTTTAAAGATTAAGCCTCTCTATAATTAGTGTTGGGCATCACACACGATGCGAGTAATTAAACGCCTGAAATTTGAACTGTTAGGTTTTATTATTATTCTTTGTTAACGGAGATTTTTACTGCTTGTACTGGCTTCTGCTTGATCATGCTGTGAAGGGTTTCGACAACATTTCACCGTGACGCACAGCGCCTTCTAACACGCGTTCTATTTAGATTCCAAGCACCTCATCCCTACAAGATTGTGCACGGTTGACGCAGGAAGATAAGACCCGGAAAAAAATTGTCATCGATAATGTGGACGGCGTTAGCGAACGCGTTGAAACGATGGATGCTGATTCTGTCATCGCCGAGTACCTCCGAAGGTCAGCAGACCGCGCTTGTTTGCTTACGTGTGGAAGACAACGCTTGCACTCTCATTGTTTTTGCACAGACTCGAGTACATTGAGACAATATGCATTCGTCTGCAATTATTATGCATGACTCTTAATCTCCATGATAAGCTCAATTTTGGTTGTAAAATCTTGCGCGGCGTTTCGATGACCGACAACCATATCATCTCTTGACTGTAGACAACGAACTATGAAAAAGAGCAGCTGAAAGTTGGACCTGTAAGCATTTACACATTATAAAGGATGCAAGATGCGAGGGGCTCCCTGCATGCTCTAAATAGTGCTTCAATTTGTAGAATCTGGTCTGACCTACTAACATGGTTAGGGTACAGGGCCCAAGCGAAGCCAACGGAGTCGGAGTGAGCAGGAGCAAGCTTTTACACTGAGGAATAAAGTTAAGGAGAGTAGTTCGAAGGGGATCTTGGCCTGAAACATCCGACACAATCCATGGAAGTAGCTAACTAAGGGAGGGCATGAACACCCCAAGAAGCTTGGCACAGCAGCAGCAGGGTGGTGGTGAGGAATCCCCCTCCCCAGCGTGGGAGAAGCAGCGTCTCAGCGGGGGGGTCTCTCTTTCTTCTTCACTGTCTTCTTCGCTGGCTGGCTGTGGTGGAGGGATCGGGCACTAGTAATGGAGACGGCAACCCGGGCAAGATGATCTGACCCCATGGCCTTCCCAGTTAGATCCGCAGTTTGTAGCCCCCGAGTTAGTCAGTCAGTCAGTTAGTTAGTTGTGGGTCCACCCACCCACTAGGGGGGACTGCGGCGGAACGGGAATTATTGCCCGTGAATGCAAGCCAGGCCCAACCAAGCAGTCCAGAGTATGGCTGGGCGAGAGAGAGAGAGAGAGCTTTGTGGCTCTTCCCGTCCCCCTCCCCGTCCCGTCCCATGCCTCCCCCTCTCTCCCTTAGTAAGCATTTTGACTTCTTCCCTTCCCTTCTTCATCCTCATCATCCTCCCCCTTCTGCATTTGGTATGGATGATTATCATCTATGACGAAGCTTCTGTTTATTACCTGTTTTTATCCTTGTATCCACTTCTATGGTGTGTGTGTGTTCCTCACTCACTCTAAGCCACTATTTTGGATACTATAATTTTCAATTGTAGAAATCTTCTGATGAAAAACATGTAACAAAAATGATGTACTATATTTAAACACAGTTGTTTATTGGATAAATTAAGATTAAAACATAACATAATATCAAATTAAAGTGAAAAAAAACTACCACATAAATTACTTTCCAAAATGGTTTGTGATTTGTGTTTGTTCTAACTTGGCTCAAGGTTGAAATGATTCCATCACTCACGTTCAACTCATCGTTGAATTTTGTTCACACAATGTCCAAATTGTTGAAGGAAAGAACTCTTTAAGTAGTTGCTAATGGTCAATAGAGTATAAGTGTTGTTAGGGATATCCCATAAGGTTAGGTGCTAGTATATATTGCATCGGAGTACAAGGGGAGGGCTGGTCCTAGGAGATATCCCATATGGGTTGTAGCACTTGGTACCTTGGTACTAGTATATAAGGAAAGGGTTGGCATGGGAAGAATTATCTCATACCACACTCTATTTGTTAAAGTGCAACCTTGCTGGTCCTAACTAACTTGTGTGGAGTATGCTTTCTATGTTTCAACAGGTTATGGGCCCACATTCTCTTACCAAGTAAGTTGTTCTTGCATTATTTCTTTGTTGCTTGTTTTTGGTGGTTGAGATCTTATGGTAGAATATTGCTAGTGAATTGTTGAAGTCATTGCTCCTAGATTTGTGAGTGTATGAGCTTAGTGCAAGACCTTGATAGTGTCTTTGCTGAAGGAGCACTAGTATTTGAGAGTTTTATGAGAAAGTGAGTCATTTTGAGTGAAGTGACGTTAGAGAGACGTTTGAAAGTCATAAAATCACATTACAAACCATTCTCCACCATTTAGACGTAATTTGGACTCAAAATATGCAAAAAGTTGCAAAACAACGAATTCTGGGTTTGTAGTTCAGTAATCTTTAAGTAGTCATATCTTTTGCATTACAACTCCAAATCAAGAGTTTTTTGGACCTACTTGTACCTTGAGATGGCATCTTTTGAGGGTGATAGCTTAAGATTTGTTGAAAAGTTTAGAGGTGACAAATTTCACCACTGGAAGGCCAAAATGGAGCTACTTTTGGCGTCATTGGATTTTTGGGAGATAGTAGATGAGGAGGAACTTGCACCTGGGGTAGAGGCAAGCATCAAGGAGCAAAAAGACTTCAAAAGACGAGAGAAGAAGGCTTTTGGCATAATTGCCACCAATTTAGATGAAAGTAACTTTGTTCATGTCATTTCTTACAAGGGGCAGTAGATGCATGGAAGACTCTTTGCAATGTCTATGAAAGTAGGAATCTCTTCAATGTGCTATGGTCAAGGCAAAAATTCTTCACCGTGAAGATGGAAGAAGGTGAAGATCTCATGGCTCATGTGAATAAGGTAAAAGTACTTGCAAACCAACTTATTGTTGTTGACAAGCCTTTACTTGAAGAAGATGTTGTGATGACATTGCTCTCAAGCCTTCCGGACTCCTATTCCTCCCTCATTGTGGCATTGGAGTCCATTTCAAGGAAAGACCTCACTTTGGACTATGTTACGACAAGACTAGCCCATGAAGTGACCAAAAGAAAGCAAAAGGAGTCTATTGGGGAGCAATCAGCACTATTTACAAGACCAAGTAAGGCAAGTGCTCCTTTTCAACGTTATCCTCCTAAAACTTGTTACATTTGTGGAAAACCACGCCATTTTGCTAGAAATTGTTTCAAGGCAAAGAAAGGAGAAAGAGAGAATGCCAACAATGTTTTTCATGACCATGGAGGTGAAGACTTTGCATTCATGGCAAAACAAACTCCTTCCATGCTTGATATGAGCAAAGGGATTGTGGATTCCGGATGTACCAAACACATGACTCCATACAAGTGTTCATTTAACACTTATCAACTAATTCCAGCAACCAAGATTTGGTTAGGTGATAATGATATGGTACAAGCCATTGGAATGGGTACCATTGTAGTGGAGGTGGTGGTGAAGGGCATAAGCAAGAGAATCACTCTCAGGGATGTGTTACATGTGCCAAAGATGAAGAAGAACCTCCTTTCGGTGAGTAAACTTGTAACTCATGGATGCAAAGTGCAATTTAACATGAATGGATGTTTTGTGAGAACCATGGAAGGCAAAGAAGTAGCAAAAGGGACTAGGGATGGCAATCTCTATATTATCAATTGTAAGAGGATCAATGGAGTGGAGGTTGCTGCCTTTGCTGAATTTCCATCAAATGAAGACAAGGTGGGTATTTGGCATCAAAGACTTGGGCATTTGAATGCCAAAAGCATGAAGGAGCTTCAATCCATAGTAAGTGGCTTAGACCTTGGCCATTCTACCATGAATCTTACTTGTGAGGGATGCATTCAAGGTAAACAACATAGGACACCATTTCCTAGTGGAGTTGCAACAAGAGCAAGTCAATTGCTGGAGCTTGTGCATTCGGATGTTTGTGGACCCATGAGGACACCATCTATGAGTGGAGCAAGGTATTTTGTCACATTTATTGATGGCTTCTCAAGGAAGGTATGGATTTACATCATCAAGGCCAAGAGTGAGTGTTTTGTCAAGTTTAAGGAGTGGAAAGCACTTGTGGAGAAGCAATGTGAGCACAAGATTAAGGTGCTGCGATCGGACAATGGAGGTGAGTATTTGTCCAAACACTTTGATGAATTATTGAAGCATGAAGGCATTGCAAGACAAACCTCTACTCTCTACACTCCACAACAAAATGGAGTTGCTGAAAGAGTAAATCGCACTATTGTGGAGATGGCAAGGAGTATGATTCATGCTCAAAAACTTGGGTATGAGTATTGGACGAAAGCTGTGGTAAATGCCGTGTATACAAGAAATAGGTGTCCCACAAGTGCACTTGAAGGAATGACTCCCCAAGAAGCTTGGACTGGTAACAAACCTTGCATATCCCACATGAGGATTTTTGGGTGCATTGCATATGTCAAGGTTCCAGATAGTATGAGAGGCAAACTTGATGCAAAGGACACAAGATGTGTATTCATTGGTTATTGTGAAGGCACCAACGCATATAGGCTCATGTGTTTAGATACCAAAAAGATCATCAAAAGTCGTGATGTAGAGTTCTTAGAGCATAAGAGTAGTAGTGAAAAGTGGGAGATGTGTCCAAGTGGGAGTAGTGGTGTGTTTGTGGACACATCTTCAATTCCAACAAACAAACAAGAAGATGAAGAAGAGCATTCTCAAAGTGAAGAAGGAGAAGAAGATGCCATGATAGAAGAGTCCAATACTATGAAGACTTCAATTCCAGCAAGATACAACAAGGATAATGAAGAGAATGAAGATGAAGAATACCAACCAATGAGTAAGAGAAAGAACTCCATGAGCCATACAAGCCAGCAAGAGGTGCATGAAAGCTCATCCTCCTTGCATGAAAGAAGATATCCAACACGTGAGAGAAGACCACAAGGTGAATGGTGGAAGAACCACATCTTTCCACAAGTAAGTGAAGACCATGCCAATGTTGCTCTTCTTGATGATCCATTGACTTTATGTGATGCAATGAAGTGGGAGATTGCCATGCAAGAAGAATACAAATCTCTTATGGACAATGAGACATGGGAGTTGACTCCACTTCCACCAAATCGATCAGCAATTGGATGTAAGTGGGTGTTTAGAACCAAGAGAGATGCTATGGGCAATGTTATGAGGTACAAGGCAAGATTGGTTGCCAAAGGCTACTCACAAGTTGCTGGAGTGGACTTTAATGAGACATTTGCACCCGTGGCCAAGTTCACCACCATTAGAACCATAGTAGTAATTGGAGCATCAATGGATCTTGAGATGCATCAAATGGACGTCAAGACAGCATTCTTGAATGGAGAATTGGAAGAAGACATCTACATGGAGCAACCTCAAGGATTTATTGAACAAGACAAACACCACCTTGTTTGCAAGTTGAGGAAGTCATTGTATGGACTCAAGCAATCACCAAGAGCATGGTACCAACGCATTGACTCGTTCTTTGTAAAGGAAGGTTTTGTAAGGAGTGAAGCTGACCATTCTTTGTATGTATTGCAAGCCAAGGACTTCTTGCTGGTTGTGATCCTCTATGTAGATGATTTAATCATCTTAAGCAACACCATGGTAAGATTGGATTGGTTGAAGAAGAAATTGGAGGGAGGGTTTGAGATGAGTGATTTGAAAGAGCTCCATTATTGTTTGGGTGTGGAATTCACAAGAAGTAGAGAATCAAAGACCATCACATTGAGCCAAAGCAAGTACATTGAAGAAGTGTTGAAACGATTCAATATGGGAGATTGCAAGCCCATTGGAACTCCTTTGGAGGCCAACTTGAAGTTGATGAAGCTCACGGATGAGGAGTATGCTGAAGTTGAGCATCAAATGCAAGGCATACCATACAAGGCAGCAGTAGGCTCACTCATGTATGCAATGGTAGGTACAAGGATGGATCTTGCATTTGCGGTAAGTGTTGTAAGCCAATACATGGCAAAACCAGGTCCTATGCATTGGGCAACCATCAAGAGAATCATGAGGTACTTGAAAGGCTCTTTGAACGTGAAAATATGTCTTGGAAGAGTTAATATTGCATTACATGGATATTGTGATGCGGATTGGGCTGGAGATGCAAACGATAGAAGATCAACAACGGGCTATGTATTCTTTGTTGGAGTGGGAGCCATATCTTGGAATTGCAAGAGACAACCAACCATTGCAAGGTCCATAATGGAGGCGGAGTACATGGCAGCAAGTCATGGAGCAATGGAGGCAATTTGGTTGAGGTTGTTATTGGAAGATATTGGACTTGTGCAATTGGAGGCCACTCCATTGAGGTGTGACAATCAAGGATGTCTTGCTTTTGCATAGAATCCAAAGCATCATGCAAGAACCAAGCACATTGATATTCAACACCATTTCATAAGAGAGAAGATAGAAATGGGGGTTATTGATATGATGTATTGTGAAACCAAAGACATGTTGGCTGATTTATTGACAAAAGCCTTAGTTAGAGAAAGACACAACAAGTTGAGTAAGGCATTAGGATTGATAGGTAATTGACCAATAGCAAAGTGGGAGTGTTGAAGGAAAGAACTCTTTAAGTAGTTGCTAATGGTCAATAGAGTATAAGTGTTGTTAGGGATATCCCATAAGGTTAGGTGCTAGTATATAGTGCATCAGAGTACAAGGGGAGGGCTGGTCTTAGGAGATATCCCATATGGGTTATAGCACTTGGTACCTTGATACTAGTATATAAGGAAAGGGTTGGCATGGGAAGAATTATCTCATACCACACTCTATTTGTTAAAGTGCAACCTTGCTGGTCCTAACTTACTTGTGTGGAGTATGCTTTCTATGTTTCAACACAAATTATGCATGTCAAGCGGCAGAATTTCCTAACGCATGAATCTTAGATCAACTTTTTCTTGTTCATGCAATAATTCATTCTATGGTTTTAATCAAGTAAAAGACTTAGGCTCTTCTACGAGCTTTTGATTAATTTAAAACATATTAGTTCCTAACTTTTTGTACCAGAACAACTAAATTATCCCATTATATTTTGTAAAGTTAACTTGCAGATCCAGCTGAAATTTGATAATTTCAAACATTTAACGTTTACTGAATGTATTAGTTAAATGTAGATTAAAAAAAATAATAATAATAAAAATAAAAACTGATTAATGAAAAATGATGAAATAAAAGTATTTATTCTTTATAATTAAAAAATGAATAATCAATTGATCTGATGAATAATATTTCTTGATAATTTTTTAAAAAAAATTACCAACCTTTTAATATATGTATCTATATATATATATATATATATATATATGATAGAATTATGCCTATCTAGTGAAGCCAAAATTAGTAATAATAATGATGTCGACTTCACAAAAACTTGAGAATGTACTATCCATTTATTTGTGGAAGAATTTGATCTTATCTTGAGTTAAATTTACAATCCAAAAATAATGCATGTTATGTTTAAAAATCTGAGTAAGCTTCCAATTAAACTAAATATCTCTTATTAAGCTTTAAAAAATCCTAAAAAAATCTTGATATACTTTAATTAACTCCATAACAATCCAAATTAAATTTTAAAGAAATTCTAATCATTCTTTTAGAAATCCTAAAGAAATCTCAAAGAAATTATAAGAAAACTTTTTAAAATCATGATAAAATTCTAATAAATTCTAAATAAATCTTAATTAAATCTTAATCAAATCTTAATTAAAATTTTTAAAAACCATAAAAAAAAACTAATTAAATTTTGATGCTAGCATTAGTTACTACCACTTACAATTTAACCTTAATTAATTGCTAATGATTAAAAGACAACAAAGGCTTAAATCAACTTATTAAGATGGCAAGTAATTTAAGAAGAATTTAAGGTTTTTTGGATGAAGGAAAGTAAGATGAAAATGATTATAGATGAGATTCATTTATATCCAATGTAATTTCTCTCCTATAAGTAAAAAGTGTTGAAAGTGAGAGTTATTTTACTCCAAACTTTTCTTTATGTGCAACCTTGCTAATACTAAGTGTTAAGACTTCTTACTTCACTTTTTATTAATAACATCTTTATCAACTTTTGTTTCAAGTAAAATTTATAATATGTAAGTTTTGATTTAAAAAAATATATATTTAGATATTTTGATCTTTACTTTTTTATATTATTATTATTTTTTTAAAATATTACAATGTTGAATAAAACAGATTGTACATTTTTAGTAATGTTATTACTATGATGTTTGAAGAAACCAATTTTTGAAATGCCATATCTACAATATTATATGAAATAGTGCTTAAAATAAATCATATACTATGTCATTAGATGTTTTCTTAAAAGAAATTCAACTAACCACTGATTGATACCATTAGACAAACTAAGAGCACATTGTATAATATGAGTGATGGGCTTGTGAGAAAACATTCACGGGATTCAAAAGACAATAAGTTTCAAGCTACAAACAAAGGCAGTGAATACGAAGAAAAGAGAGAGAGAGAGAGAGGACCGAAGAAAGAAGAAAGAAGAAGAGCAAAGGAGGGAGAGAAATCCGACTCACTCACTCACCAACTAACTAAGTCCAGGCTCTCCTGCCCATGTGTGTCTCCTGCCCATGTCTCTTATCATCTGCAAGCTGTGATGCAATGCAATGCCACTCTATGCTCCATGCCCCATGCCCATGCTCTTCCTTCCTTCCTTCCTTCCTTCCTTCCCTCCCTCCCTCTTCTTGCAGCAGCGTCGGCGCACGGGCTCACCGCCTCGTGTCCTCCTCCACTGGACACCATGAACTCATGCTGCAGCACCAGCAGAACACCAGGATCCTGCAGCAGGTTTTTACGATGGCGCGGAGGGAAGGATGGAAAAGCGAGGTGTAGAATCGTGTAACTTATTCTTCATTTGGGAATATCCAAGCCTGACCTGTCACTCTTCCACGCTCCCCACATGCGGGGGAGGATAAGAGGATCTGAATCCACACGACGAAGGCGGGGGCGCAGACAAGCTGCCGACGCATCCATGCCATGGAAAAAGCCCCGCCACCTGCATCGCTTGGGAGGCAGGGAGTAAGCGACGACCTAGGATGCGGGGAGATGATATTGGGGAGCTGGGGGGAGAGTCAGAGGTCAGGGAATTGACCGCCAGGTGCATGATTCTACTAAGAGTGTGTGAGAAGAAAGCATGCGGTCACGTTTGAGGGTGCATCTTGTACACCTGTTGTTGTTTCAGCGTCATCCTCTTGTTGTCCCCTCCTCCAGTAAAGCACACAGGGTGTGGGTCATTTCGGAAGAACTTCTTCGAGCTTTCAGAGCCTCCCCTCATGGTCATTTCTGCCAGCGTGTCCCCCTCCCGATAGTCGAGCCTTGTCAGGCTCGAGTCATGCCAGGACAATGTGACTGGGAGACCATTTTTACTTTCCGCCGTGCCATTAATGACTACTTGGCTCTTAATTTTTTGCTTTTCTTTCACGCCTTCTGGGCCCTATACATGTCCGTCGCCTGGCCACCCCGACGAAGGTTGCTTCCTCACTTTACCTGCGCCACGATCCTATGTTGGTCGTAGCCATTGGATGTTGGTCGTGTTGTGGTGCTGCCGCTTCCATCATTTCGGATGCATCTTCAAGGCTACTGGAGTTGTCGATTTGTCGCTGGCTGGTAGGTTGTCTTCTCGGATGCGAATGGCGGATCGATTTCATGGTGACGTGTTGGTAAGCTTCGAGGTTTCTTGCGTGTAGGAGCGTGGATATGATTCTAGTTGAGGGGCTACTTGGGTTAGAGTGGGTTTTCTGAGATTGTTCGTAGTGCGTACGTTTATGATTGCAGGGATTGAGTGCTCTGCGGATTTGGTAGTGTGATTTGGTGTCGATGTGGTGAGTTTCTAGTATTTGCGTTTTGGTTCCGTCGGAAGTTGGTGGGACCGAGATTGGAGTTCGAAGTTTACGTAGGTATTAGCGCGTCTCTGTGACGAGGGCCGGAATTGAGGCTTCCTTGCGGTTTCTGCAGTTGTCTGCGCTCTTCTCCTTTGTCTGTGGGTGTGTCCCTACCTGGTAATGTGGTGGTGTTTTGGTTGACGAAAGATCTTGCTTTTTTCATTTATATTTTTAATGCACCCATCCTCAGCGTTCTAGTGCTCACCGTCTTGTGCGTCAGGACGTGTTGTTGTGCAAGAATAGTTGTAAGAGGTTGTACCTCTGTGACGGTATCTTACTTGGCGCTAATGTTCTTAAAAGTTAGCTTACTAACATTTTGTGAACAGGACTACTGACCTGGCCTTCTCAAGCAAGGGCGCGCATTTGTTGTGTTCTTTGGTTTTTGAACACTCTATATTATAGCGTTGCTGCCAGCTTCGTACTTTGAGGTAACCTTCGTACTCAACTACGTAGTGCTATGCCTCTGACATTTGTGTACAATTAAGTTATTTTGTTGCTTTTAACCTGTGAGACTAGAGCTTGTGGCTGTTACTCTAGAGACTGCTCTCTAATCGACGCTTCTCCACTCTTACAGAAAAATTGATTTTGCTTTCACAATGTCATACACGTGCTTTTTGACTTACACGACGTCGTCTTTGTTTACGAATAGAGACATTTGTTGATGTTGGAGCAAATTTGCAACATTAAATAGAGTCACACATGTCTGTCAACTCTTTCGAAATTCCGTTCCTTTTATCACAAATAGGGTTGCAGATAAATGAATATGTACATGAACCGAGTGGTGACGTTTGAATTGATACGTTGTTCTCTTTCAAACGAGAAATTGAGAAAGAGACCGGGAATTAATTGGGTGTCACAGCTCTGGGTTTAACATTTGCCATTGTTGTCGAGTTGCAGTTGAGGTTGAGGCGAGAAAATATAGATCTCTACTTGCAGAAAGTTAATCCATCGCGACATGGCAACTTTGAGATGTGTCTTTCGATTACAGCCTGGTGCAGATGAGCTTAGCCAAGGTTTAGGGTTGCCTCAGACAGTAACTGCAACTTCGAGGAGAATGGATGGTTCCAGTTCTTTACCATCGGCGACTTTCACTGTATTTAAATTCCCTCCTGTCTGCCCCATCCTACAATCATCGGATTCGACTCTTCGTTTTAGAACCATAAATTCATCAGCTACTCTCCAAAGCTCCTTCAACCCCTGTCTAGAATTCTTGAGGTTTGGAGCTAGTTCAAGGAGGTTGTGGAAGGTGGAACATGGACTTGGGCGCGTACAGTCCCTGGGAGCCACAGAGGAGGCGCACATGCCATTTGAGCAAGATAGGAGGTCATTGGAAATAACATATTTTACTGAAATTAGCCCTTCATCGTCATCTCCTTCACGTAGCAAGGATAGAGCAGATGATTTATCTTTGAATAATCCTCTGCTCCGACAGCACCGTCTAGGATGTGGCTGGTTGGGCGTCGTGTTGGAATGGGAGGGTGTAATCGTCGAAGATGACTCCGAGCTGGAAAGGAGAGCTTGGGCCGCCCTTGCTGAAGAAGAAGGAAAGAGACCACCACCGACTTTCGTCCTTAAAAGAGCAGAAGGCATGAAAAACGAGCAGGCTATCTCGGAAGTTCTGTGCTGGAGTAGAGACATCCTTCAAATGAAGCGCCTGGCCATCAGAAAGGAGGACCTGTACGAAAAGATGCAAGGCGGTTTGTACAGGTTACGGCCAGGATCTCGTGAATTTGTACAGATACTCAAGAAACACGAAATCCCTATTGCGGTGGCATCCACGAGACCTAGGAGGTATCTGGAGAGAGCTATTGAAGCAGTTGGCATGGAGGGTTTTTTCAGTGTTGTTCTTGCCGCTGAAGATGTCTACAGGGGTAAACCAGACCCTGAGATGTTCATGTATGCGGCAGAGAGGCTTGGCTTTATTCCTGAGCGTTGCATTGTATTCGGAAACTCCAACTGCAGCGTCGAGGCAGCCCATGATGGGTGCATGAAGTGCGTGGCTGTTGCAGGAAAACACCCTGTATACGAATTAAGTGCTGGAGACTTGGTTGTTCGCAGACTCGACGATTTGTCTGTGGTTGATCTGAAGAATCTCTCGGATCTTGACTCTCCAGAGTTCCAGATCCCGGAACCGCGGTTGGAAATGGAGGTCGAAGTGGAACAAATTCTTCCCCAGGTCACTACTAGGGATTGGTAGTCGCAAGTTCCTATTAGGTGTATTTCTATCAAAAATTTGTACAGCATATTCTTCTGATTCTAGTAATAAAGCTCATTCTTGTAAATTGTAAACAGATGTGCATCTTGCACTGGGAAGTGTAAGGAGCTGTTAAGTTCCTCCTCTGCTAGCTTTGTACCAATATAGCTGTAAATTAATAATTCATTACAGTAAAACAAATTACTTGTGCCCAAATTGTTGACTGACTCAAGTTTCATTTCATTTTATTTTATTTTTGTTTCATAATTCTCATAATAATTTGAGCTTAACATTAAGCCAATTATTTATTTTGAGGGGAAAGTTTTTCTTTACCAATGTTTTGATCAACAAAATTTAGATGATCTAGCAATACCAACTACATGTGAGCAAAGTATTAATGTCATTTGAGGTAGGAATCTTTACATCAAGCCTTAAAGCTACGACATAATTTATTGCTTTAATATCCATGCTTTTAGAACAGAGAAAGAACTAGATCACCAAATATCTTATTCAAAAACATTTAATAATTTGGGTAAATTTTTTACTTCACGCCTTCTAAAATTGCAATAGACAAGAAAACCTTTTCTTGTACATATTAAGTATCAAAGAACCTCTACTAAATAATAGTTGTATTTTTAATCAAATGTCTCATTCTTTGTCTAAAATCTTTTTCAACCATCCAATTTTTTTTTCTTTGTTTTTGTAATATAATTATATTTCAAAAAATAATATTATTTATTGTTCTTTTGTAAAACAGATCAATATGATATTAAGGATAGTGACATGGTCTATTAAAAAAAATTGGGCTAGAATTATAGATAAGACATTTTCTTTCTAAAATGTCTCAAGTAAAATATCTTCTAAGAAATTATGTAATAATTATTTTTAAAAATAAAATCCAAATGATTAAAATTATATATATATATATATATATATATCCATTTTATTCTAAAAAACATATAATTTATTTCACTCCTCAAATTCCTTGAGGAGTATAAAACCATACTTTCACATACAGAGAAAAAAGTTGGCTTACAATAGCATTAACAATGAATGTAAAGAGATATAAAAAGTTGGAACCTCTTAACATTGGTAGTGCAATGAAGTTACACTGCTTTAATAAGAAGTCTAAAACAGATTTGGGATTTTATTATCAAAATAATAAAAATACATGCATGAATAAGCTCCTAGTTTGCACATGACTAGAACATCTTGAAAAAAAACAGAAGCTAAGGACTGCAAGATTTTGCTCCTCCTTGATAATGCACCATCCTATGGATAAATTAATTTAGATCTTGAGAATATTGAGATGGCATTTCTTTCTCTCATTACAATGCTAAAACTACAACCAATGGATACTGACATAATTTTTGATTTTAAGCGATATTATTGATGCTTTTATTTACAAAACGTAATTAATAAAGATGACTATTTACAAGGTTGATATTTACAAGGTTATTTAGCTAATGCCAATGCATTGTGTCAAAGTCACTTGGATTGCTATGGGTGCATTAATAATTGCCAATTGGTTTTAACATTGAAGGATGTTTATTTGTTGCTCCCAATAAATTTGGCATGACAAGGATGGAGATATAATCAGCAATGAGTTTGTAGATAACATGTAAAGACTATTAAATTGCATATAAATATTACATTACCACCATAGAACAAACTTTGTGGAGGCAAATAATATCATATTATAGAAGTTATCAAGCTATTAAATATTGAATCCTAGAAAGATTAAATTATATATATATATATATATATCTAAAAGAACTAATAGCAAATATGTACTTTACTTTATTTAAGATACATTGTATAATATTAGTATCTTTTCTATTACCTTAAGCTAAGATATCAAAGACATGAATTCCAAAAAATTGTTTAAAAAAACCATAATAATACACAATTAAGAAAGAAGACTGAAAAAAAAAAGTACAAGTGTAAGAAAATAAGTTACTAGATTGATTATAGTTGAATCCAAAAAATTCAAGAGTATTGAATTAAGTCTGGAGTACATGAAAGGAGTTGACAAGATTAAGAATTTTTTTAAACTTACTTTTATAAATATTAACTTACAAGAAGTCTAAATAAAAGTTTTTTCAAAAAAAGAAAACAAAGAGGCATATAAGCAAAGTATTGAAGTTGCAAGATACTTTGTTAGTAGCTTTTAAGAAGTAGGAAAATTTTAATGAAAACTTTTATAATTACATAGTATATTTATGGATCTTACATGTATTTGATTAAAAAATAAAAAAATAAAAAATGATGATTTTTAAAAAAAGATATCATAACTTAATCTATTTCTATCTATTTAAATTTATTTAAATAAAATTTAAATATATATATATATATATATATATATATACATTATAAGATATTTAGAATAATATTTCTATTGATATCAATATTTTATAATTATTTTGATAATTTTTTAATACAAAATCAGATATAAATGATTTATATATAATAATATTAAAAATTACCTTGAACCAATTAGACTATAATTTATGCTTCTTAAAAATTTATATTATATCTTCATTAACTAAAAAAAAACAACAGGTTCTAACTAGTATATTAATTTTATCAAATTAAATAATTTAAATGTAATTTTATATTCACATACTTAAATTTAATTACAAAATACTAATAGATGAACTTTAATTTAAAATAAAAATCTATAGAAAAAAATTCATCATTGTAAAAAGAAATATTAATTCACTATATATATATATATATATATATATATATATGCACATATATGTAAAAAAATGTTAAAATGACCCACTAATGTACTAAATTGACCCACATTATTATAACCATCATTAGAAAAAATGGATCATCACCCATAACCATCATTGCAATCCCCTCATCCTCTCTTCCATTTGTTCCTATCTTTCATCTCAACTCCTCTTGTTCTCTACAATAGGGTGGGTCAATTCAGTAAATCAGTGGGTTATTTTAACATTTTCTTAGGAAAATTGATACAACAAATATAGTCTATTCTTTTAAAAAAATAAAAGTTATTATATAAAATTAATATTTAAAATATTAATATATTATTTATTATTTTACATAATTAATATATTTATTATAATAATAAAACTTTCAAATATTAACTATGTAAAATAATATTTAAAATATTTATTTTACATGAATTTTTATTTATTTATTTGATAAAATCAAATAATAATACAGTAACATTTCCAGATAAACATGACTAAAGTAGTTTTCAAAACAATCTTCAAATATCTATAAAGAAATGTTTTTTCAGTAAAAGTATTAGATCATATTGCCACAAGTTTGCAAATTATATAGGTTGTTTGATGTAATATATTTTATGCCTTTGTGGGATTGTGAAATCAATACTTTAATATTATTGTTTCAAGTTTTCAAAAAAACTGATATTCTGAATTAGTTATTAATTGTTCATGCTGACTCTCTATGCACTTTCTTATACTGCTTCGTGGTAAAGTTTTTCTAAAGAATCAAGATCTGTATGAAATTAGGTTTATAAAAGAAAAAGAAAAAGAAAATGAAAAGTTTTTAATATACTATAATCTCTATGATGGTTTTTTTTTTTTTTTTATTATTATTATTATTATTATTATTATTATTTATTCTGAAAAGAACATATCATAATGTTTCTAGTATCTAAATTTTGAATATTACTTTGATCTTGGGGTTTTAATCGCATTTTTAATTTAATTTATTTTATTTTATTCAATTTAATCACTTATTAAACTGTTTTATTTATGAATTATTCTTGAATGTATAAATTATAGACATCCAAAATAATGTATAAAGTGTATTTTTGTCACTGTCTTGTAAAAAAACATACTATATTTTCATTTTTTTGTTTATTAGTAAATAATAATTTTGAAAACAATTTACCTTTTTCCTACAGTTTTCAATGGTTAAAATCTTTTCGCAATGCGATTTTATTTATTTGTGTATTTATTGATAATTGATCCATCTCTTCTGTTTTTCTCTAATTTAAATCTAAACCTATAACCATGCCATTTCATACATCAATTCACATCAGTACTTAGTTACATGAAATTATTCATTTATGTTCAAAATACTTATGATTGTTTTTGAAGTATAAAATTTCTTACATCAAAATTTATTTTAATAGTTCACAAGTCTTCGAATCATTTCATTTTTAGAATTTATGGAATTAAGTAATGTTTCAGATAATAATAAAATAAATGAATCTGCAGACCATTCAAGTTTGAATATAAAATATACAATAGAACTAACAAATTACTGAAGAATATGTTTTACCCTAAAAGATGGAGTCATAAAAATCAAAAATTGCAGGGGACTTCGAATACTACAATCAGTGTATCACACAAAATGAAACAGCGAGAAGATGGAGAAGATCCACAACATACCCCTAAATCCCACATCAATATCTTGAAGCAGCTAGAGATGAGTCATAAACTTGATTGCAAGCGTCCTCGAAGGAACAACAACAACAATCAGGTAGAAAACAGAATCCTGCGAAGAAGGCACAGCTTGTAAGAAAAGCTCACCTCTGTGGGCGAAGAAGAATCGACCCACAGCTCTGCTGTATGTATCACACTATGCAGCACTGAACCACTGCTGGTCATGGTTGACATAGACCTGCTTCACTGCCCTCCATGTTTGTTGCAATCCACAAGCTGTGCTACACAGCATTGCCCTGCAATTTGTACAGTTGATTGAAGCACGCTAGACGCAATGACATAGTGCGGCATATGATTCATTCCGGTTTCAACTGTGGAATTATAATTCTGGTTCCATGATGTGCCTTTGAACCAGATTTGAGATTAGGTGTTCTCGGTTACTGCTTGTACCTCAGGCTATTTACCTCGAAATCTTTTCCCAGTAAAATCTAAATACATATGACTAACCAGTGAATATAACTACTAAATTCTTATTTACTCGTCATTACCACAAAGTAAATATGGTATCTGATCATATAGGTCTCAGCAGAGGCCGACACCAGAAGGAACAACTTAAGCTGCCTGTAAATCGTTTACTTTAAAATAGGACAAGTGATTTGCGCTACATCAAATTTTACTACCAGATAAGTAGCATTCTTACAAAGAATTCCAAAACGAGTTTCCGCAAGACTCTAAAATCAGAATTGGCAATAACTCATTAATTCAGCAACTATGTCATTATGCTACTAAATGAAAATCGCGGCAAGCCTCCTCCGTACAATTTATTCTTATCTTAGAATCATCTCGAATTCTGTTCGACCTCTGTAGACCCCTGCAGACCTAAACATGAAACGACCAGGTAACGCCTGTTTACTTTACAGCGTCGGAGTATGAATGCAGGCATCGAGCCTCTTTTCTGCGAATGAGCTTATATATATATGTGTGTCCCTCCCCTCTTCTTTCCCCTCACTCTATCCAAATACCCACTACGCACACAATGTCGCTCTACTTCAAAAATGTGCACGAAAACCACAAAAAGATGTAGGAGACAAGAGCTGTGCTGAGTTCTAACGACCAAGACTTGGGAAGAATCTGCTTGGGAATCACTGGCATCAAGACCGAACCCAAAACCCAGCCTAAGACCAAAGCACTCACTCCAAGCACGGATGCTCTGGCGACGCTCTTGAGTCTGTCATTGAGAAAGTACACACATGCCGCTAGCGAAATGGCAACCTGAAAAGCCGGCCCTCCATTTGCAGGGTTGAACACACTCCACACTCCAAGTAACAGAAACAGGGCAGCTCGTTGTCCCATGATAGTCTTACTAGGCACTTCGATCATGTTCACAATCCCCCGCACCCACGGAGGCGACTCCTCAACCTTCTTCCTCAAGTTACTCTTCAAATCCATTTTAGATGCTTTCCGCACGCGAAAGCTCTGCATGATAATCGTGTCGTATGCAGACTCAATCGCCTCTCGGCTCTTCTCGTGACCATTGTACTGCTCAACCAAGTAATTCCGAGCTTCGCGCACCTCCTCCTCTGAAGCGTCCTGGCTCACTCCCAACCGCTTGAATGGGTCTTGCACACCAAGCCTTGGAAACACTGGACCCGAGGAATTCACATCCGAGCTCCCAAATGCTGCGCCCATAGCCCGACATACTAATCCATTGGGCCTTCGCCAGCTAAACCCTCGTAATTGCCTCACCGATGGAGCTACTAATCTAAACGCCTGTGACGAAAATGATAAACTTTCAAACCTCCAGGCCTCTAAACTCCTCGAATAGCCACCAATCTGGTTCGAGCCAGATACAAAGCTCATGGCTGACGCATTGCTGGTGATGGGCAAGCCCACCTGAGAGTGCGTCATGGTCTGATGGAGCACCATCGCCTAGTCGACCTTGCGAATGAAGCTCCCCTGGGTAGGAGTGAGTACACAAGGCAACCCGCATCACCCGAACCTCTCTCTCTCTGCTGCCCAACGGTATCAGACATGAGCACGGCGGCGATGGAGCTTCGGAGAGAACGTCGGCAAAACCCTACACCCAGAGCATTGCTGCTGCCTCACCAGGGAACTCGGCACCCACTCATTCATGCCTCCATATCTCTTTCTTCTTCTCATTCACCTTTTTCATAGATGTGTGAGCAATTGCTATGGAGTTTGTATCTCTTGCCAAGCGTTTTACTTTGTTGTTTTGTGTGAACTGTATTCATGTCATCTTTCTGGCCATTTGGAAATTTATTCGATTGTGCATCCATGTGAAATCACTTGTGATTATTCGAATAATCACAAGTGATAGCTTCTTTTTTTTCTGTTTTGAAGGTGTTGAGAGGTTTTTGTAAATTGCGTGTATTGAGATCGTGAGTACTAGGCTAATATTACTGTATTGGGTTCATAACCCGCTTCTAAAAAATTGAGTCTTCGAAGTTTGAAACAGTTCGTTGCATTCTTTAAAAATGTATCGGAGGTTGTAGAATTGACCTTGAATATTCAGTCTTGTGGGTGGAAATTGGAGGGTTTTGCAACATTTATTAATCAATGGTCTCATTTAACAATTCAACTTCTTCATTAAATGCGAGTTTTTGATGAGCAACAGAAGGTGACAACTTATTGAACTTCCGCAATAAGCTAAAAGTACTTACGAGTCAATTTATACACTTGGAAGTACTATTAAAAAAGTTGGTGATGATATAGTTCACAACTTCTTTCTAAATTATTTGATAAATACATTGAAGAAGAAAATTATTCTAAATTTTTACATAGATGTCATCCAAAACTCCACTCGGAGAACATCATAAGATAAACGATTACCAATTTGAGTTTTGTTAACCTACATAATAGGCTGAACATATGAGGAATAAAGTTTGCATAGGAAGACGGTCTGACATAAAGCTTCGAACACAACCACAAGTGTTTTGCCTCCAGTAGTCATTGCAACATCCGACATCAATACATTTAGTACTCAATTCTTGTAGATTCAAAGTGAGTTCATTCACATCAGAAGAGTAAACGTGCAAATTCAAAGCAGAATTTGAATTCATGTCCAAGATAAGACGGGACACGGTGAATCTAATTGTTGTGCAAATTTCGCACCCTTGAGGAGCCAACTGGAGTTGCTAACACACTGCTGTCACATGTTTCAGCTTGGTGACATGGGTGATAGCAGAAAGAAATTATTATTAGCACAGAGACAACTTCATCAAGCTAATTTACGTGATATCTACAGAATTCTTAGATGAAAACTAAGAGGACAAGAGCTTCACTAAGAGCAACCTTCAGTGTTATCTCCTCAGGTCACTACCGAGCAGAGTCACCAAGATTTGTAAAATAATCGATGTTGCAGAAACAAGTTGTGAACTATATCATCACCAACTCTTTTAGATGATAAATATGTATTACGAGAGAATCCGTGTATTAAGTACAGTCATCTTACCTGAGCAGGGTTGAAATTTTTAAGGTTTGCTGAATTCAAATACCTGACGGTGACGTAAGTCACTAGAGAGCTGATACATGCATACTACGTTATGCACTGTACACCCCATCCAGGATTTTTTTCATGTCCGCAGAGGAAGGATTTAAAGCTTCGTCTTTGTAGCACTTCAACATGATCTCCTCCAACGCGGTGTATTTCTCGAGAAATTTAACCTGCAGTTCATGTTAGAACCAATGCATGAGCGTACTTCAAAGAGCCACCATAAAAGGCCGTTCCAAACCTGTGCCTGCCAGGTATCATAAGGTCTGGAATGATTTACCTTAAAATATTGATCCCAGATAGTTGAAAGAACATCTTCACGTTGGATTTGTTTCTGCATTCTCTTAAACGTAACTTGGAGGGTCTTTTCTACCTGCAATACCCACGGTGCTCTTACGTCAGGAATTTGGACCTCCGACTGCCATTGACTTATTTAAAAGACAACAGCATATAGATCAAATTTACTCAATTAATCATACCATTATTGCTCGACCCCACTTTTCGCATTAAAGATTAAATTATTTGTGAAAAAAGACCTAGTGCACCAGGATGGAAATATCAGTACAAATAGAAATGTGATAGCCTGTGATTATGCTTCTCATGCTGCAATTCACAACGGAGATGGACTTACTGACGACAGGCTGGTCCTCAACATCTTTCGCAGATCTGTTTTGGTGCATCCAGGCATGGCTGAAACCTGGCGAATCAATAGAGATTGATAACAAATAGTTTTAAATAAATTCCAACAGTTAAATAACCGATTAATAAAACGACTCACACCGCAAAAAGTCCCTTCCAGTACCTAACGGGCAATCAGAAAGTTGTCCAACTATACAAACACATTGATCAAACACTTGTACGAGTTTGAAACCGTTCAAATAAAGTTCATTGTAATCCCTTGATATTCACATCCTGAACGACTAAATGAGCCAAGTGATCAAGTTTTGAGGAATCGCGGGGATACGCTCCTTTGAGTTTCCTTTGAATCAATTCAAGGAGAAATCTATTCTCTACAACATGATACTCAACAAGTTGCTTTGCACATTAAGAGTTGAAAGGCGTCGTTCTTTGCCAACACATGAACAACAAAGTTTACAAAGTACAGAGAGGTGATGTCCGACCTGTTCTGGTTGCACTTGTAGCAGCGTTTGTTCCACTCGTTGCAAAAATAAAAGCAGCCTCTCAAATTGCTGTACATTCAAAAAAATCACAGGAGCACACCAAAATTACATATCGTCATCATGTGTACATATCATACGTTTTCCTAGCGACTCTACAATAAAATTAATCTCCAATCGTATCCGAATGATTTACAACCGAACAAGTGCTGTTACTCAAAACAGAGGCATGCATATCTGAACAAAATTAAGACTTGTTACTGTCTAAACTCAATGGACTAAACCGGTAAGTTCAACAGCAAATTACACTACAAACCAGGGTTGATGAATGTACATAGTTAATCATGGACTTGGCATATTGTTGGCATGCTTGCGCGTAACCATCTGAAGCTTGAGTGTAAAACTTCTCCAAAGCAGGCGTAACAGCTGCAAGCTCGTACGTGCTGCATACACATGGTCAAGAGATTAAAAAAGAAAGATCAACTTTTCTATTTCTGTATTTGAATCTCAGATACAATGTCACAAGGCACGGAGACAGTGAATGCGCTTGGGGAAAACCCGTCGTAATTTGAAACATGTAACGACTGAACTTACTTGTCTTGAAACGCAGCGTAATTATCAAGAGCGAAAATTTCTGCATTTTTGGGATCGTTTTTTACAACATTTTCGATGACTGTGAATATTGGAGCTGCCTGGTTGATCATCACAAAACACAACCCACAAAAATATTGGAAGGTTCTCAAGACTGAATTGCAGAATCATCAAGGAATCAATGCAACTGGTAATCATGTTCAATTCAAGATCTTTGTGATCCTCAGAAGGCAATTCAGACCCATTTAGGTCTCGAGTACATGTCTGACTCCGATTACAGTCAACGTACTGTACATTCAAAATAATCAGATTCACTCTAAACTTTGGAATATACGGGCACAACATAACCCAGGGTATATGTATTCCTGGTAGAACTCCAGGAGTGGGTAATAGGTAACAGGTCAGAAGACAGTACTTCATCCAAATTTAAGAAAATACAGAACTTACCATTTTCTCAAAAGCAGCGTCAATATCTTCCCTTGAGTTCTGCCCTACAATCTGAGATTCTATGAATGATGCGACGTTCGCAAACCTGCAAATCATCGCCATCTAGTTTTAGAGTCCTGGACGATTCTGATATGGCGAATATTTTCTCACAAAAATTTAATGACGAATGCTTTCTGACTGTTTTCTGAAAATACGAAAAACCTATTTTCCAATACAGAAGTTCTGGGTCGAGTTGGTGAACTAGCCAAGGCCATAGTAAATATTTAATCCACGAAGCTTTGTACGCATCTTTAAATGAAAGCCATATTCAAATGATCCGATATAAAAACCAAAAGCAAGATGTTAGAATACAAATCTGATTGGCACTTGATCCAGCGCGTTGTGACTTACTTTGTAATGGAATAGAGAACTCCAGTGTTCTGGCTTCTGTCAGCCCTTTCAAACAGTTTACTGGTTTCAGCAACGACCTACGCGGTCAATCGACAACAATATTTTAGTAAGGACTTCAGCAACTTACTACGAGATTTGATTTCAACACTGGATACTAGAGATTTGGTGAACATGATCATATTTCGTGACGAAAAAGCGATGTCTTGAAGTAGAGTGTCAAGCCTCCAGGTGCTGAGGAGATGATGACAAATATCACTTTTAATGACACAGGTTTTAAGACCTGAAAAGAGTAACAGGACTAAAATGTTGATACACACCTGATTGAAATGAGAAGAAATGCGAACTTGAAGATCGTCAAGCAACTGGTGGACGAACCAAGCAGCATCAGCTTTGTGACTAGAACGATACTTTTCTGTAACACCCTTCACTGATATGCAACTCCAGGGGTCCACCCTGTGCGCCCAGTCTGCAACAGCATAAAAATCCTCCTGCAGTACAGCCCAGGTTGCATAAGACATGTTTCCTGCCTCTGCCTTTAAATCACTACGACCCCTCCACTACTATTATCATTCATATTCTCAGCTGTCAAACATAAAATTTCTGGAATATTTGATGTAGCAAGTAAATTAAAGCATCACAATACAAGCAGAAGCCTTGTGCAAAAGCATCAATAAAAATTTGATACAAGATATAATAGCAAATAGACAATTTCACCTAGCAAGTCGCTATTACATTTTCTAAATGTTCAAATTAAAACAGAAACTGGTGTATGCTATTTACCTGAATCCCATCCAGAAGTTCTTGAAGAGCTTCTCTCAGAGCCTTTGACTCAAGAGCCTGTTGGTCCGCTGCAGAAGCAAGAATCATGTCAGTAGGATTCAGACGTGAGAGGGCTTAACCATTTAGTAGTACAGCAATTAAAAGCAGATCCCAAAAGGTGTTGCTCATCTCTTTAATAATCTAAAACCGTCGTTAAGTTGCAAAGACAAATTGTAGCTGCTGACCATGGTAAGTGATATTTTATTGGATTAGTTCAATTGCATTACAATACCTGTAAAAGCTAACTACATCACAATTACAACCCGCAACTTCTGATGGAAAATTACGAATTAAAAAACTAATTTCCCGAAATATTGTGGTGAATCAGTTAACACTTCCTTGAAAATCAAAAGCAAATAAAAACCAGGCTTCGAGGGCATGGGAGCTCCTCGACAACAGCAATGAGGCAGAGCGTTCTTACGGGTGTTTAAAATAATGTCATCTCTATTCACTCTGGACTCTTCCTCAACGCGATCCTTGGCATCACCTTTCACTTGAGGGGCCAAGGGCTGAACCTCAAAGCACATGAAAGAGGCAAAAAACGTACTCTGCGACGGCAAAGTACGCCTTAGAACTTTAAATCATCGAAGCAAAATACTGCTAGTAGCATTCACAAAAAATCATCGGATCAAATCAAAAGCCACCAAAAAACTTAAAGTTTTGTTCACAGAATCAAATCACCTCGTCGACTAGGTATGGTATGAAGGTGCGTAGCATTCTAGCATAGGCATCAGAAACGGTGGAGGCGCCATTTGGGGATTCTTTCGGGCTTGGTTGACTCTTGCCACTGTCAATCCTATCCAGCAATGCTGTAGAAGTTTGTCTCACAACGGTGCTGTTTCGCAATTCGTTGGCAAATTCACGTGCCTGCAATAAATTTCGTTGGCAAATACAAACGTGCCTACTAACTTGATCTTCAAATTTCCTATTTATCTACACTAAGAATGTAAGGCAAAGTAATCCCGCAACTTGCATTTCACACGGTTTAGGACTCCTTGTGAAACGCATTGACATACATTATGCATGCGAGAAGTACCTCTCGTCGCAGCAAGTGGTTGAGGGAAAGACAAAAAGATTTTCGCAGCGGTTGCAAGGAGGTCTTGTCAAGAGCCTGGCAATATCCAAATATACACGATTACTACTCTATCGCAATCTTGTCGGGGGTTACTACTGAGAACAACATGCAACGCGACAGATACTTCCCAATTTGACAAATCAAGCATCACGTGTAACCCATTATTCATAGAGTAGTTACAACTGGAGTTCTTTTTAAAATTGAAAGCAGTTCTGTACCTTCATGTGCTGAATCAATCTTGCGTACTGCCGGCACTTAAAACGTAGGTCAGAATGTTCTGGTCTTCTTAGATCGCCCTTCTGTAAACCTCCCATCATCTGTGTTATTACATGAATCGCAACAGAGTGCAAAAAAGCTATACTCTCCAATACATCATCTTTGAAGTGACAACCGCAAGGCACGAAGGATTTACAGGGGTTTGAAAACCAAATCCATTGCAAATTTCATCTTGGTAATACATAATGTCAAATAGCGCCTAGAATGTGTACCTGCGAGAAAGAAGATTTATCGCTGATCATAGATTCGACAATACTGGAGAAATAGTCGCGAAGAAAGTTTGTAGCACGTCCCAGAAACACGCCCTTGAGCTTTTCAAGCTCATTACGCTTCTCCCCTATCTGAGCAAGTTCGACAGTAAATCATCCTGGTTAATAAATGTGTGTCTTTTCGCGTGTTTCGATGAAAAAAAAAAAAAAGAACGCAAACTTTCAGTAGAAAGAGGTGCATGCATCCGGATTTAACAATGCGCTTACAAGAAGCTGTAGTTTAGGGTAAAGTATTAAGACATCATGTAAAGATGTTCCAAACTCTAGATAATATTAGAAGATTATGCAACTTACGGCTCGCATAGAAGCATATCTGGCTTCTAGAAAAGGTGGTTCAAGATCATGAAAAGCACTGGCCAGCCATTTACAAGCTTCAACATTATCAGCCACTTTAGCTTCCTCAAATGTGCCTGCCGTAAGCGTTTTTGCGTACTGTTGGTACCCCAGCAGAAGACGGGTGTAGCAAAATGTCAGAAATAGATGCTACCACACAATACTGGCAGATTAAGTACCAGTGCTACATGACAAACTGGTGAGGTTTCTGGGTGTCAAATAGCACGCGAAGCAAGTACTTTCGTTCTGTTCTGCTTAGTAGAGAGTGATGCAATTCAACTTGATGCGTCTTTCAACATACTTGCAACTTAATTCTCAACTCTGTAGCACAACTTGCTACCTGAAATATGTGCAACGCCAAGAAACTCACCTCTGCTGGAACTCGAAACCGGTCCAATATGACGTGCAACTCTTTCAAAAGGGCATTACTGTTGTGAGTTTGTGTTTCCAACCTGTTGTTCCTGGTTTCGAACTGTTGAGACAAACCACCTTAGAAAGATCTTGAATACATATGAGTTGGATTAGGTCTGCACTTTGCTATCACATGGCAAGAACATATCAACTATAAGAGCTGCTACTCGGCAACATGACTGCCATTTAGCAATGAAAATAGATACATGTTATGATGTTTTGCTAAAAGAGTATTGGATCAATACCCAGACACACCATGTAGATCTTAGAGAGACAAAATTTAGGATCATACCGAAGCGATGTCTTCACGCATGTGGCGTATTTTAACGTTGATAGCACCCAGCCACTCTTCCAAATCCTCTACTTCTGCAAGGGTCTCCTCTAGCTCTTGAGTTACCTGCATACATAAAAATAAAAATATTTCATCAGCGAGCCATGGCTCTGAGTCTGAGAGACGTGCAGATTCCTAGCCAGAGGCGCACTGGATGCGAATTTTCTCATTATCAATTCCCAAGTTTTGCAAATTTCTTCGGCAACTTTCAACACAGTGTCTACTAATCAAGATTGCTTCGGCATCAGTGACCAGCTCAATGAAGGATTAAAAATGAACGTAAGTCATTGAGATAAGACCACGAAACCAACCTCGTCAACAAGAGGCGTGTTTTCCAGAATCGCATGGACATTGGCATCGTCCAATGCATTCATTTCCCTTTTCAAGCGTTCAGAGAAAGCATCTGCTTCATCAATGCCTAGCACATACCTGCCGATACCACCATTGTGTTTTCACAGTGAATAAGCATAAAAACTAAGGAGAATGCTCAATGATATTCATGATGAAAGAAGATATACTACAAGGACCTCTTCTTCCACAGGGAAGTTGAGACAACCTTGTGAAAAACCTCGTCTAGAAGTGATCAATTATGTGCAGGGAGCAGGTGGAGCTCACATGCCCAGAAGAGCATCCATATCCTTTTCCTCGTCTTTGGAGATAAGTTCCTCGTCGTTCTCACTGTCAATTTCCACTGTTTCCTCATCCCCTTCATTGTCTTTGACGTCGTCCTCATCAAAATGATCTTCCACGTTCATCGTAGGAGTTCTTGGCAGTTTCGAGAATGCTTTTGAAGGTGCACTTGTTTTCGGTTTTGCAGGCCCTTTCGCAGTAACCAACTTAGCGTTTTTCTGCATTTCAGACCATTCATCGGATTTAAATCAACGTATTCTAGACCCAGGCCTATAGCAGGTATGATCCATCGTCTCACGAGTATGATAGTGCTGAATTTTTCCGGTGTCGTTAAGGATTATAGATCATGCTGTAGAATAGCGAAAAAGATAAAAACATTTGAACTGCAAATGAGCATAAAATTACCTGTGCCCACAGCTGCATTTCCACAACATCGAATCCAGTAATTTTCGGAGTCCGACCATGGTAGAGCTTACAAAGCTTGGTAACTGAGATGAGGAGACGGTTCCTACCAGACGTCAAACCCAAACAACCTCTGCTGTCAGATGGGAAGCCGTGCAAGGTAGCTAGTTAAGAAAGAATAAGCAAAGGCAAATGCACATTCATTGAAACTATATCACTAAATGGAGATTCAAAGCGTCCAAAACACAGATGCTTGATTACCTGTCATCTACACTGCGCATAGACCATTCTGAAGAAGTCCCCGAATGTTTTTGTAGCAAGTCAAAATTCTGCACAAGATGTCAAGAGCGCAATTAAGGAACTTGCAACTAGTAGGTTTCTGAAGAGACTATCAATCCAACATATCAAAAAAAACAACAGCAAAAATTCCATTAATGGATAGAGCAACAACTAACCAGAATAAAGGTACGTCCACTCTCATCGTCAATAACTCCTTCGACTTCTCTCAAATGACTCAGCTTGTGCACTTTCAGCGTCTGCAGAAGCATCATTTTAACCGTGTCAGAGGCATGACGTGGGAGGTACGGAGTTTACACAATATATTTGTAACTCAAATTGCACCTTCGTTGATCTTAAAAAGCTGTCACCACATGAACATGGTGAAGATAAAAAAGGTCGTGTTTCGTCACCTCAGTTTAAGGCAATTGTAGACATCATAGTACCAGCAGTGCTACTGGACAGAACATCAGACCCCAACACTGGAAGATGACCGTACGATAGACAGAGACATACCTTAAGACCAGTGGCAGATTCTTTCACCACATGCAGGCATACTTTCATTTTTTTAGTCACTGGTGAAGGCTTGACTGAATCCCAACAGGCGAAGTAAGCGCTCAGTGAACCACATTCAACAAGAACATCCAACTTCCCTCTTACAACTTACTCCATAGAGCCAAAACTCATAAACAGATTAAATTTCTCTCGCTATCTAAGGGGATGCCCAAGTACTCAGTGAATCATACTACAATCAAACAACGCTGCTACTATGAAAGTGATATACCCTAAACAAAAGAATATGAGTGGATATGGTAGAACTCTGGAGTAAGGGTGTGACATGGAAAAGGAAAGCACCAGTGAGGGCAAGAATGCGATGCTGGCTTGACGGGCGGGAACGACGACCGCCAATACCCCACGAGCTGGTGCTCTTCTCCACATAGAATGCCGCAAGAACGTGCTCTACGGAGGAAAATACAGCTTGCACCTCGCCTCGCAATTCGTCATCCCAAGCGAATTCTTCCATTTTCAGGTCGGCTGCCATGACCTTGATCCTCTGTTTGCTTGCTCTCGTGGCCTTTATTTCATGCGTTTCATTCTTTCAAAAGAGCACCCAGTCCGTTTTTCACGCTCTCTAAATCTACAGGCAATATCTGATCACGGTAGCCCCAGCTAGAGTGAAGTGTGCAAGTGAAGACACCTAGAACAACATCAGGTGCAAGAAGATTTTCTTCAGCGCAAAAATACTTTTTTTGAAAAAACATTGGCATGCACCCTAAGAAGCATTGAACAAACTCACGAAAAATTTGCGTAAATTTGCAAGTTCCTAGCAGTTGTGAAACCTGAAATCGCCGATACAATATTCGTAAGGATTACAAATCAGGGTTTAGAAACTAGGTCATGAATCCTTAAAATAAACTATGGGAACTAATTTAGCTGCTGCTTCTTGGACGATGTATCGCGATGTTATCACGAAAGAGAGCGAATTCGATTACGATTGAAATTTGTCATCAATCTCAAGCTTGCCTCAAAAAAGGTACATACACTAAGCATGACAGAAAAACGACATCTAGCAATTGCAACAGTGACATTTCTACGAACTAATGATCAAATTAGTGAGCTCCACTAATTTGACCTGATCCCCCTAATGGCTACGAACGTAACTTACCGACAATCAAACTTCAATCCAGATATTTCGTAAGACATCGACTAAGACTAGTGCGGGAATAGGAGCAGGCACTTGTTTCAGCCGCGAACAACGTTTGACCCAGAATTCCTCAATCAATCATTAATAGTCGCAACGTGATCAGAGCACATCACCTCATCTCCATCACCACTGTCCTGGAACGACATAAGATATCGCGTATCGGCAGCTAAGGCACCCATAAGATCACATCGCATGCTTGCTCCAATAACTTCCAAAATCAGTTCACAACCTCCTTCAACAGGAAAATGCGTACGACAGCGAAAGAGGACGATGGCAACAATCACCAAATTTCTCGTCCCAACCCGTTCAGATCTTTCAGGAAACCCTATGAACCAATCCGTAGCAATCCGGAAAGAACTGCACCGTCAAGCGAGGCCCAACTCTGAAAAGAAGGACTTCTAAACCCGGATCTTTCTAGAGCCCTACTTTACAATGAATTTGGGTTTCCTCGGAAATTCAACGAATGTTTCAATAATGACCAGGCAAGCTTGATTGATGCACAGTGCACAAATTGCAGGATGAAATTGTCTGAATTGCGCAATTCGTCTGCGAGAGCACTACTCGGTAGTTGACTTTTTCTGGCAGACCTTTACATCCCCGATCCACATCGATATGTCAATAATGCCACGTATATTTTCATGACTGTAGCTTCTCCCACAGCCCCAAGTCAGCGCACGTGATCGTGTTTTTCGCTTGGTGAGTTTTCGTTTTTGTATCCAACCCCGAACATGAGCTTCATCTTCGGCTGAAAGCAGCCGATTCGATTGTGCTTCGAGCATCCTTCTGAACCCACTCTTCGGGTTCTTCACGAAGGATTGCTGTCGATGTGGTACTTGTTTCTGGCTTGAAGATGATTCCAGATACATCCACATTGGTAGGGTGGGTTTGCGTGGCGTCCTTCGCTCACGGAATATGGTGCCGACTAGGTCCAAGCCATATCCGAGGTCCAGTGCCACAGAGGCAGTGATGTGACCTTGCAACTCTACGGTTACCCTACATTTTGAAGCGAGACATCAAGTCTCGTTCACGCCTAGAGCTGGTATGATGCTCACACACCAGGAAACGACATCAATACTCCACCTAGCCTGCCGCCTCGCACTCTTGTAGCGAGAGAAAGGGTAGTAGTACACGAGAACTTCCTTCGTAATGGGGCGATTGGGTACCAGTCTAGGTACTGTCGCTGCCTTTTCTTTGAACCCAATAGTTTATTGTGATGACCCCATCACATTTTCGCAATAAATCACATCCGCGCTAGCCTGTAGCTGGGGCTCCCTTCCTGCACTGTGGGGTTCCTGCTTCACCTGCAATTTCACAAGCACGTCCCCAAGAATCAACGCGCAATACCACAATTGTTCAGGCTCACCTCGAATCGTGAGTTGATATCCCTTTCCACGGCCACTTGTGGCAGTGTAGTTCCATTGAATATGAACTTGGGGAGCATTAGAAATTCTATGTGCTGGAAGCTCCACACCACTCTCGTCTGTTTCCAAACATTTTATTCAACTCGTCTAGGGCTGTTCCACGTCGTCCTCTCTGGCGCTTGTTGCAGAAGTCTGTCGCAGTGTTGTGTCATGTTGCAGAGTGAGATATAGTGATATTTAGCCAGATGACGTATCCATGAGTTGGGGTAGTCCTTTTTGCTTAGACTTGAGGGTCTCGGGTCGCAGCACCGGCTACTTGAGAGACTTCGCTGGTTTTGTGCTAAACCTCGGGGAGATAGACAAATGTTTGCATTTGCAATCCTTTGGTTCGTGAACACAAAGCAAACAAACTTTTTTTTCTTTTCCCTTTTTTTTTTGTGCAGGATGATAAGTTTGTAAGAGGACCCGTGGCTTTTTGAAAACTATCGGATGCTCGAAAACAAGAATCGCTTTGGAAAGTTTGTCTGAAATCGCATCATGGACGTTGCGATAGTTTGTGCGCAACATGCTGATGAATCGGAGGCCTTGCTCCAAATGATACAGAGATCCGATGCCTCTGTTGTTTCGTTTAATCTTTTCTTTTTTCTTTTCTTTTTTTCATTTTTCCTGAAATTATTATAGCACATTCATTTGGATGTTAATTCCCTGTGCAAGTTTGATCTTGCTCCTGCTGCCGCAATCGCTTGAAAAATTCAAAATTCTGTTAAAGTTTGTGCTGCGCAGAGAGCGGCACTCAGACAGTCACAATCTCCGGGGAACGGAATCGTAGACGTGGCTCATTCATTTGTTCACGGATGAATGTAACTTCTGAGAAACAAAGCCTCCATATCATGAGTATTCTGTGTGAACCAATTTCTTAATTAATATAAGGTTTTCTCTTCAAAGAAGATGTGGTTGAGAGTGATTGTTGATATGGGATCCCAACTTCTATTTTCTATGTAAATTAAGAAAGCATAACCAACTGTGATGGAATATCTATGTATTGTACACTATCTATGTTAAAAATATTTTTGAAAAATAATTGTCACATTCGCCATGCACGAGAGAGTTAAAGCATACAGATTGGGAAGTGTTGTAACTATATTGGTCTATTTTGTTTTGTTTTTTTTTTTTTTTTTTTTTTTTTTTTTTTTAAAGTCACATTCGATCATACTTTAAATGATGTTATCATTTTTTTGAAAATGCAAATGTAATATTACCACGAACAAGGGCAACCAGACAATTAGAGGTAATAAAGGATGTAGAATATGATATGTCTTATTCCTAATTTCCATCACAAAATCACTGTAAAGAGATACATTATGTTGAAATTTTAAAAAATCATTCTGTTGATGATCTATAATTTAAAAAGTTCCTTTATATTTATCTTCATATTATACACTGTGTGGTGAATATAAAATATAAAATTCTAAAATATGCCAATATATGGTGTGCAGATTCTCTTCGCAAGTATGCTCAAAGAATTTTTTCTTCTATCAAACCGTCGTACATGAGTCCAAGTCATATTTTTTTACAAGAACTTGTGATGAAGTCACTACAGCGTGACAAAATGAAATGATGAATGAAGATGTGTATTTCAACCCATCAGCTGCAATGAATGAGATCTCTTAGTTAGGACTAAGACATACCAGTTCTAATGTTTTAATTACAGTACATATCCACACTCATACCATTTTGTTTGCCTCAATTAATGTAAATCTGCTATTGACGCTAACAAATGATAAACTTCAACAAAAGTTTGACCAGGACTACCGTGCTGCACAGACCTCTTGATTTATTGTAATCAGGACAAACCAAATGAACACAAAAACAAAAATCAATTGTAAAGAAAACGCTTTGCATTAGCAACATCAAATTAGGGCGTCAGCTCTCTGCGAACTTCGATAACTAAGCGTTTCTACTGCCGGGCTCTAATCGTGTTCCATCCAAGCATAATCGCACCAACTTCTACAGTCGCTTCAAAAACACTCTTCGCAAATTCCATACCACGTTTTCGTGGCTATAAATCGTTTTGGTGCTGCAGCCAATGTCATGCCCTGCTCCACATCTTCGGTAGCACTGACACCCCTCTGGGATAGACAAGTTCTACCTACTGTGATTTTCCTTATTTTGATTTGTATTCCTCAAGTATTACACTTTGTAGTACAGGAGTATTTACAAGTATTCTTAGCTCCGCGATGCAAAATCAGGGACTTACAAGCACAGTAGTTTGGTAAATTGATAATATGTGGTTAAAGAGAATAGTCCATTCAAATTCACAGGAGCTAGAAAATCCCCTTCTGCTGGAACGCTCATATGACACCTCCTATCTGTGACGGTACGGGTTGCTTCAATAAATAATATAGCAGGCACCTCTACGTTGCTTCCAACTCCTGCTTTGGAGTTCCAGCAGTAAACTTCTTTCGATTCTCAAACAGCACAGCACGTGCCAGGTTATTGAGCATTCGTAAATCAGATGTTCCTTCAGTGTATGAGTGGCCAGGGCCTGCATGTGTAGATTTCAACTTGAGATTCGATGTACCCTTTTTCCTCACACCAAGCAGAGCTTGCTCCATTGTGGGCTGCCCACGAACACCCAGTCCAGCAATTTGAACCTCATAGTGATATTTAACAGCCAGGACGTTGACCTGAACATCAAGGAAAAACCAACAAATGAACATCAAGACATTGAATCCTTTTTCGGTGTACAGAAAAAATTAAAATAAAATAACTATTTACTTTCTGAGCAGTAGAATGATAGAGCACGATAGACATAAATAAATAAATAAGACTTCAAAGAAGCTCACCAGTTGAATACGACCTCTTAAAGGAGCCCTTGCAGCTTCTCCGTAAGGAGAAGCTGCGGCTGTCTGTCCTAACTGTTCCAGTGATGTGATATGAGCCATGACAACAGCGTGCAACCTCTCTGTTTCATCTGCCCCAGCCCATATTTCAGGGTTGCTGCCTAGGCACATCTCCACAGTGCCCAGAGCCAAGCTAGCTAATTCTGGAACTCCAGGTCTTTGAAAATTCTTCTCCTCCCCACACCATGCACATGTCCTTAGTAGACCATCCCAAACAGCAAACCAGTTCACGCTTGTAGACGAGAGCTGCAGTCCTTTGGTCTTTAGACTGTTCAAGATGATACACACGACGGCAGCTGCGCGATAGAACAGATCAGCATCCAAGAGGGAAGTCCCCTCGGGCTTTACAGCTAGTACGCTTGATGCCAATTCGAGCAGGAGACTTGAAATGCTTTTGAATTGGATCACGAAAGGCATGTCTACCAAGCCATTTGCGGGCACCTGTTGCAACATTTAGATGTCATAATAAGCTAGTCTCATATAGTAAATAATAACAATAACAATAATAATAATAATAATAATAATAATAAAGAACAAATGAACCAATGAGAGTCGCGTCATAAGCATCACGAAAAATGTTGTAAAACTGGCTCAATCAACGAGGGAATTTTATATCCATCTACAAAAATACACATTGTAAATATTGTATCTGATTAAACCTTTACCTGGCTTACTGCATATGATTCAGAATTACATCGCAAGAGGAAATCCGATGCCACACGATCTTCCGCCATGCATCTAAAAATAGTGAAACATAATTTTGCCCTCAATACTCCTGAAACGCCTGAAGCTGGTAGTTCAGACACAACTGCTTTCGAGATGGAGAGGAAGGACCTGATCAAAGAGAAAAACTGTCAATTACAGACATCTTGCTTCTGGTAAGTCATGAGCGACTAACAGCGAAGTCTTGTACGTTAATCGAAACTGCGAATTGACAAAGATGACGTAGCTCTCAATACAGCAGCAGTTTTCCCAATTGCTCAACCAAAACGAAAATTCGACACTAAATTAATTCGTGAGTAGAAGTTACTTTAGAATTTCGCTCCACACAAGAATAGCAGATTGCCCAGGAGCAGCTGAACCTTGTGCATAATTTAAACTTGTTGAGGTCCAAACCTGTAGCATAATAAGTATATTAACCTGACGCATGTTGTGGCACCACCGAGAAACCTTATAATAGTTCAGAACAAGATCCTAGGTTCACCATATAAGAACCTCGTACCTGAGCTGATTTCACCACTGGATTCAGATAGAAGAGGAAATACAGAAGCACGAGACCAGCAGATGAATTGCACCACCAAACATCTAATGTTTTGCTTCCCGACAGCCCTGAGACTCCATCACTGCTGGCATCCCCAATATAGGACCCAATGCCAAAAAAGCTGCCAAGGTAACCAAGGAGTCCTCCATCATTTGGAGTCCTGCTAGAACTGGAGAGAATGTCATTCTCAGTCTGAGGTATATCATCGAGAGGAGTGAAAAGAGAGGCTACAGTGTGCAACAGAGGCAATATGGGAGCCGCAGGCGAAACAAGTCGTTCAGCGTAAGGGTTGGAAGATTCCCTCCATAGAAGTAATAAGATGAGAACAAGAGAAGCATCCAGCTCAAGTTCCCTTCGATCCGCTGAGAGCTTCACATTAAAGACAGCAGCGATCCCGTCGAAGGCGTTATAAACAAAAAAATAACTAGCTATGGTATTCGTGTTAACGTTTGGTGTCGCTGTCAAGATAGTCAAATACACCCTGCATCAAAACTATAATGGATAAGATAACCAGGGATTGACAACATCCCAAACAGCCAGAAGTAGACTGGATTGTTACTTTCCGATTAAGCACTGCTCAGGTCGGACAGATTTCAACCGGAAAACCATGATGATATGACGGAAGCTATCTATTTTTTCTGCCTTCGAAAGACTCGAAAACGTGAACAACAACACATGACAATTGCAAAGTGGACAGCACCGATGAGTAATATTTGCAACAAAAACCTAGACAAGTCTTCGAATTGACTCGTCAATTTTTCGGATTTACATACTTCTGACAAGCCTGAATACGAATCTATGTACTGCTTTCTTGGCCAAATATTGACTTACTTGATTCCCAGAGACTTCACAAGCACAGGAACATCATCCCTAACAAGCAGGGCTGCTATGCTATTGATCAATCGCCTAAAGAAATTATCTGCATTGTCGACAGCACCTGCCACCAATGTAAGGATAGTAGAGCCCTGCCGAAACACAGAATATCAATTTGAAGCCTGTGAGGCGGACCAATATTAAGATGGTGCACGAGACGCACATTACAATCATCTGTTGATGGCACCGACAGGTTAAACCAGAACTAGAAGAGGACCAACACACGATTCTGAACTTCTCAACGTAGTAAGAATAGGTGGGAAATCCGAAATGTGCAATATAAAAAAGAGCGGGCAAGGGCATTCTCCATAATTGATAAGTATTTCCTCAAGGTTAAATTAATTGAACTAAAGTAAAAACAAAACAAAAATACGCCGCACCTGCTCATTAAACCGCTTCTTAAAAATCTCCCGAAGGAGGATTGAAAGGGTTTCGAGTGCATGAGCCACTCTAATAAAATTATCATCATCAAAGTACCTGCTCGCAACATTGGAAAACTCACTTCCATGCAAACAGTAGTGGCCCTCTACTTGACATATAGAGCTGTCTTTCTTCGACAAAAACCTCGCAACTGTATCCTTTAAGCATCGAACATTTAGAGGTTTTAATTCACCAGAGACTGCCCTAAAGAGGCGTACCTCACACAGGTTGCGAAAAGGTCATTGATGACAGGACGCAGGTTATCCTGGAGCTGCTCTTCTGAAGATTTTGATATGCATTGTGACAAAAAGCTTTCGTTAACCTGAAATTTTTTTTGAAGACAAGATCAATCAGAATGAATACATACCGATACTGTGCAGAACAAGAACATTGTCATCGTTGTCACATCCTCTACGGACCCAAGGTATCTGGCACTGTTCAATCGCATACTTGATGAAGAATGAGTCCTACCTTCAGCAATAATAATTCATCCCAGAACCTTCCAATGGTAACACGGCCTTGAATGCCTTGATCTTTTGCTGTTTGAAGCGGGCTCCGCAGTGCAAATATATCCTCGTAGAGTGACACAAACTTCTCCTTAAATAAAGACTTGTAACTTTCGGACTTAGTAGGGGTCACAGTAATCTGCCCGCTTCCAGGCAAACCTTGATTCTGCATGCCTGCCAAAATGTACGGGTTATTCACAAATTGTAACCCTGATCGCTGACCCGTCTAACTACAGGATTCGTTAAACATGGGTTTCCATCCAGTAGGCATCTTCAAAATTCAACTAACTTGACTTCTTTAGCATAATCTAAGTCCGATACTAAATTCTATCAGACGATAGAAATTGGAAAAAGGGTCCGCAAAGCAATTTCTTAAACGACAGTGACTTACTTTCTTGAGCGCAGTTATACTATGCATGATTGTGAGGTAAAATTCGAAGACTAACTTACATCGAACTGAATTCAGAATATCTGATTAAAAGAATAAGGAGCAGGACATACTGGCTTAGTCGCTGGCATCGACAAGAGCTCCAGGAAAAATCCTACTTAAAACCCTCTGCAAACAAGAAAATCTTTCTGTAAGCACTTCGCAAAAGAATATGCTGTCAATTAACTGTGCGACGCGAGATGCTAAAAGCACCAGCTCTCAATTCCTACACCACATCCTGAACTGGCCTACTCGATTTCACAAATCTCGGCAACTAGCTAGTCACAGCATGAATCTTCACACTGTGATATGGCTCACGCCCCCCTGACCCCCAATCGACTGCCATGTTCAAAATTCTGCATAGATCTAAAACTCCTGTCAAACACGACAGATCACGTTTCCGAGATCAATCAATCTACAACTGGTAAAAGCGTAGCCAGTCTTGGCACGGATCAGCTTGCGACACACCCGTGCATACTCTTGAATCACCAGGCAGATCTCAACGAGGTGTCGAGGCCACACTCTAGTTTGTGCATCAACAAATCAAACTACTAAAAAAAGAAAAAAAATTAAAAAAAAGAAAAGGAAATTAAACCACCCGAATCACAGGCAATGCCTATGGATCCACATAAGCGAAGCTTAAGAGCGAGCCAGGGCTGGCACTGAAGGTTCAAGGAAAAGCTTGACAATAAAAAGAGAACATGCAGAACCTCGCACGATTCCGTCGTGAAAAAGAGTTGCACATCATAAAGAAGAGAGGCACTAACGTGTAGGAAAGATAACAGGAGAGAAGGAAGAAAACGCGGGGGGCAAGGGTGAGATCTGATGATTGGAAAAACCCTAAGTGAAGGAAAGGGCAGGGAAGGGCAGGGGATGGAGAAGAGTAGAAATGAGGGAGGGAGGGAGGGAGAAGAAGAAGAAGAATCGGGGGGGAGGGTGAAGAAGGAATCGTGGGGAGGATGGCAGGGCACTCACTCACTCGCTCACTCACCAACCAACCACTCTCTTCTTCTTCTTCTTCATTTCCATACCAGATCTTTAAGTGCTTTCACACCCTCTCTTAACAACAATCTTACTGACTTCTGTGCTGCTCATAATGTCTGTCCCAATCATTTATCCTATTACTACTGCACAACTTTCTGTTTCTTCAATCACGATTATGTTTGAATTGTTTCTTATTTTTTTCGTGAATTGTGAACTTTCAAGTCTTCCTGGAATTAAGTGCAAGTATTTCACTTTCTTTCATGTTTTAATTCCAAGGTTTAAAGTTCTCACATGTATTATCCCTAGCCAATATTTTAATTTATCATCAAACTGTCAAAGATTTTATAATTTTAGAAGAAACAAGGAAAAAAGAATTGATGAAAAATTGCTTACAACTTCATAACAATTAAGGAAATGATTGGGTTTCAATAAATAAATAAACGAATGAAAACTTTATTGAACAGCTCGGGAATGCGATAATCTGTGTCCAGAATTACCAAGAGAGGAGTTGTCTACCTTTTTATAGAAGCGTCGCCTCCTAATATATGTCAGTTCTCATTTTTAAATGCTTGATATAAACTTTAAGAAGACAGAGTCATCCACATGATTTAAATGATATATTAGATGCATTAAGATTGAGACCAATGTACTCACACTTACATTTGTGAATGGTACTTTTGCAACAGAATTAATAGCCATAAGATTCAACGTGCGAAATGATCTATTTTTTATTAGTGTATTTATAAAATGATTAAAAAGTTCCAGCTGATTGAGATCTAGAAATACGTAATTTATTTATTTACCATTTTACACAAAACATGGATTAAACTAATTCAAACATTATTTTTTTGATTAAAAACACTCTTGTAATCCAAAAATGTAGTAAAGGATACTAGTAACAATTTCAAAGTAAACAAAACTTAGATATTACAATAAAATTAATAGATACCGAAAGCAACAAATGAACAGTGTATCAATCTGTGCATTGCACAGCCAAGTACACCTGTTGTGTGAAGCTCTGGAACTGAAATCTTGTTAAATTCACGATTGGTTTCGAGGAGCGGACATTTAATCTACGATTTAAAAACCCTCGGAAAGAAGCAGTAAGTAGTTGAAACGTGCTCTTTCGGCGCCCGTTACATAATTGGTTATCCCTGGACAGCTCTTTTGTGTTCAAGGAGGTCGTGTCTCATTGCCGAGCATAGTCGAGGCTTGAAGTTGTGGGTCAACTGTGTTCAGGTCTGACATGTAGTTGACCCACATTTTCATTATGTTCAGGTCTCCATGGGAATAGTCGAAGGGAAAAGTACCAATTTAACATGAACAAAGTTGTACATGGAATTTTGCTGCTGAATTACCTCCACAGGTCAGACATCTAAACGCCGAACTCAATGGAGGAGATACTACTAGCATCTTTAGACACTGAAATGGACATTGCACGTGCGTCTGTGGAATCTGCCCTCTGCTGGATCAAGCTTACTACAAAAGGACCCTTCACTTCATGAGAAAGCCTCCGAAGTTGGTAAATTTGAAACATCAATGAAGGAACTTTATTTGGCAATAATACGTTTGACTTCATCTGCGTCTCTTGTTCGAACGAAGCACCACCACACCAACCTTGCACCCGCAGAGGACATTCTAATTCCTTGGACCAGAAGTTACTACCAACAATGCCACTCATTCCATTGGGACATCATCAAGGAAATGCAGTTTACTAGAAATCTTAAAGCGAGTCAGTCTTCATGTATTAACTGTTGACCAGCCTGGAGGAAGGAGCATCTGCATGAGCTTGCTGATCGCTTCAGAATCCAGCACCCGATTCTAACATTTGCATGCGAAGATCGTGAAACTGAGGACTCATGGTCAAGCGCTCTAGAGTTCAGGTGACGGTCTCCACAGAAGCAGTTGGCAGCGGCATCAGCTCCAGCAGTTATATTCAGCTGGCCATCGCCCCGTTTTTGTCAAACTGTCAAGGTTATGGAGGCAAATTATACAAATCTAACGAGAACACACTACAGACTACTGCAAGTACAGCACCCTCCTCAAGTATATTCAAAGCTCCCAAAATCTGTTGCTAACATACCTGCGATCGAAAAAAAACCAATCCTCTCTCAACTATTTTACCTTCACAATATTGCTCACCAACAACACCGAGATTAAGCTGTTCAACGGTTTGAATGTTCGATGACTCAAACAGACGCGCCGCAAATGTTCGGTCCCAAGTTTTTCCCACTTCACAAATAGGATTAATGAATCAAGATCAGAAAATCACATACCTGGCCCCCAATCGCTTCTTACCAGAAAACTCAGCACTCAAGAACAGATTATGTAGCATGCTCAAAGCAAGACAACATGTTCCAAGAAAACGAAAAGCTTATCAAAATCAATCCAAATGAGATCTGTACATGCGGGGATCTTGGGGGAGCTTTTCCCAGAATGTATTGTAGGTTTACTGTATGGCTAATATTGGAACAGCAGCTATCATCCTTAGCAAACCTCTTGGAGAATCGTAATTTATTCGATCTATCATGCACAATTAAAATTAAACAATACAATCTGTTAGTTCATCTGAGGACATCCATAAAAAATCAGTACAGAATTGCCAACAAAAGAGTGCAACCTCAGGACTCATGCGTCATTTCAATGGCACATGTGGAGAACAGTATTAAAAAATAAAAAATAAAAATAAAAATAAAAAGTTTTGGGCCGAGTGAGTCACACACACCCCAACTTGAGAGACAAACTCCATCAAACTAGGGGGAGGATTGGTGCCAGCGTCTGCGTAGCCTCAAAACCTGGAGCTACATTTCCTCCAACTTCGGATCTAGCGAGCAGCAAGACATCTTCCGGAGTCGCCTCTCCCCCCCCGAAAAACAATGGAGCGTCAACTTGCTGACACTAATCTCCACCGCAACCAACAATGTCATGTATTCTTGCTTTGTTGTTTTGGAGCATGGATTTTATAGCTGACATGGGCTACAACATCAGTGATGGATTGATGAGCATCTATTTTGTTTTTATGTCTTTATTATCAAAATAATTCAAAGCTTGACGGTGCAATTGTTGTTTTGTGCTAGATGGAGGATGAACTGACAGTGTCCACATGGAGTAGCTGCAGCAGTGACCCTCAAGGGGAAGAAACGGAATTGCAATGTGACAAAACCATGTTTGGATTAAACAGACCAGCATTGATTGATTGTTTGGAACAATGATTTGCTTTTGTGACATTGATGCATAGTTGCAAATTTAGGGGGACAAAGTGAGAGGTTACAACTTTTTTTTTTTTTTTTTTTTTTTTTTTTTTTTGATTGGTTGAAATTGGGAAGCTTGGTTGATTGAGGTGGCTTTATATTAAAAGAAAACCAATCCAAAAGTCTTGAGAGAAAAAGATGAGATAAAACGGCATGAATAGTGATAAAATGGCACATTTCAAGACATGATCTTTAGAAAAAGTTAAGAATTTGTATTAAAAACTATCAAAAATTAAAATGTGGAATAATTATTCTAATCTTCTTCAAAATTGTTAAAATTAAGATGCAAGCTAAAATATTTAGATTTATAATTTTTAAAATCATTTGGTTGTTCCATGACCTCTTTTTACTTGACACTATATCCCAAGGTCAAGGCTTCTAAAGGAGAGTTTATTTTTACTAAACAAGAGGCCTTTATAAGGCTTTAATAACAATACTTTTGGTTTTGATTAAAAAAACATTGTGGCAATTTAATGGAATTTATGGATTTTCTAAGTAGCTATTTTGTTTTCAAATTTTTTAATGGTCTACTATTACCAACTTTAGAAAAAATTAAAAAATTAAAAAATTATATATATATATATATATATCTCTTTGTCTTATTTATGACTAGATGTTAATTTTTATGCAAAAGAAAATTTGTTTTGATAATCTTCTCATTTTATAATCAATTGAAATCTCTACTTTTGTGATTACTCCTCTTGTGGTATTAAAACTTATCTCTGCAAGCACTATATAAGAATTTTAATATCAACATTCTTGAATTCTTCAACATAATCAAAACAATTCAATTGCAACCATAACTAGCTCTTCCTCTTTATAATAACTTCAAAAATAGATTACAGTTTTTGAAGAAGTTATAAACGAACCTTGACCTACAAGATGTCTTGTTTGAAAAATTCCAATAAAAAGGTAATATCAGACTTATTTTGATTTTTGAAACAAAGATATTGGTGGCAAACCGCCAATACTATCGGATTCAGAAAAATAAGTTCCTGTTTGGGGCACGACCTATTGATCTGCTTTATTGCGAGTTTGGCATCTGGTCAAGATGGGTAAAGGAGAAGGCTAAAAGGCCACATCGTCTTGAAGCACTGAGGTTCATCAGCAGAAGACAACCGTATTAAAGCCAATTTACGGCAGACAAACAAGGGAGCAGCCAATTAATAGCAAAAATCAGCTTAAAGAGGAGCCTCACCCTTAAACTCAGCTTTGGAATCGGAATAAACAAACCAATTACAACTAACGAATTTATTTTACACGATTTTTCTTTTAGTACGTAGACTAGAGTAAACCGGTTTAGGTCTCCAATCAAAATAGGTACTAAACGCGAGCAGCAAACTAGCGAAAGCCACATAAAGCTTCAACCAAACCGAATGAAACAAGCACCAGAATACCCAACCGCTAAGGACTACGTGTAGAGCAACATTGCAAACACCTTCCACTATGTTCAAAGGGCTCTCTTCAATTCCACTGTCAGGGAAAGAGCCTGTCTTACTAAAACTGGCCAACATCTGGTCCTTTTGATAAAATAGATCATACAGCCACTGCGTCATACCGTCTTCTGATTGAGGAATCTCAGAAATTGGTATTCGGCGAATGTGAATGTGCACTTCCGATGGATCGGTTCCGAATACATTGTTGATGAACAAGGGACACCGCTTCTTGTACCCTATAGTGAGGTCATAAACTGCACACATACGCACATGAACGACTTGATGAGTATCTCTGAGCTCGCAATCTCATCCAAGTATCAAATTACAAGTCAGAAAGAAAGCTAGAAATGTATTTTTGAATAATGAATATAAAAGCCAACTGTATGAACTCCTTAGTACAGAAATAAGCTTGGGAGAACATTTCTAGGTGACAATCTTACGAATGATTTTACAATATTTACATGAACTATGCATTCTCAAGATTGATTCATAGCTGCACCCACCTGCATCCAAAGAGCAGCGCGATTGAGAAAGGCAAGTCACAAAGCCACGAGTGCGAGGTTGAAGCACATTGACAAGCTCCGGATAGCCTTTCTCTCTTCCAATTGCATTGCCCGTGTCCCGTTTCGCTTCACTGTCATAGTAGTCAATCACATTTACATCACAATAAGTCAAAAATGACAAATTGCTAAGTACATTAAGCAAGTATGATTTACTTGCTAGAGAAACAACAGAGAATAAATGCAGATTATAGAGAAGATTGCAGATATACATCAAAGCCATGGATGGGTACTTCAGCCTTACGAAAAATCTGTGCCTTCAGGAAACACGACTAGCCAGAGAGGATCTCTTTTATCTTGAAAACTGTCAATGTATGTCTTGATGACGGGAGCATCCACTTCCCACTTTCTATGCAGCATCAGAAACTCAAAAACGTAAAATGCCCAACCAAACAAGGGTAAGTTTTTCACTGAGTTCTTCACCGCATACTTGCAGTACCCAATCTTGCCTTTCCGAATTGCTAAGTTCCAAATGTACATCCAGTCCACTTCGGTACGATGGTTGCACATGACCATCACACGGTTCTCCTTAGGTACTTTATCACCTGCAAAAATCACCTTTACAACATCCATATCCCTGTAGGATGAAATTAACCGGAATCATCACGACATTCATTGCCATAAGAATGAAGTGAAGCAGCGTCTGTATTGTGGTTCCAACATAATCAATAGGTTAACAGCAAAAGAAAATTGCAAAAGCAAACTTTCACGACACATTTGAGCGCTTCTGATCATATTGCTACATTATGATGGACCTAGAGTTGGCTTTCAGGCACAGAATTTCAATTTAAGAAAAAATTAAAACAAGTTTTCAGTTGACAGAATATACCTAAACAACATACATGTGTGGAGACATTTTCATTAATAAGACATACCTTTGTTTCGTTGACCTCCTCGAATAAGTACGGCCACATAGAAAGCCAATTTCCTATGAAGTAGGACGTCCATAGTCGACTGTAATGAACACTGAAGAAGCGTGGCAAGAAATGCACGACCGGTGATAGGAGGACAAGCGCCACGAACGCAGTTAAAAGTAGAATTGCTAGACACACTAAACCCCGTACCCTTCGAAATAGTGTCAATGGTCGATGTAGATGTAACTTGTCGCCCTGCAAAGAAAATCCACACGAATGCACAAATTCACATCTCCATCCGAAATCGATTAACTTAATCCCTGCTACGCTCGAGCCCCAATTCAACAGAGCAAAACCAAGAGATATAGAACAACGCCTGACCAAGAGAAACAGAACAACGCCTAACCCAGCCCTTGAGAACTCCGCCCATTGTGAGCGAATTCCAGCACAAATGAAAGTAAAATTGCCCTAAACCTAAATTGCATGGCGTATACCAATTCTCTTCAAAGGCCATGCACAAAATGACGCAAAATCCAGAAATTCAACGATTTCACCAAATTGAAACAAAGATGCAGCTATTTGGCTCACCTGGGAGGAGTACATAGCAGGCGCCTGGTCACCCAAATCATCTAGACTGAGGGATTCCGCACCGGGCTTCGAAGCATAAGCATCACCCGGCGGGGTCGGCATGACGATTCAAACGCACAATTCCCACCCAAAAAACGTCCGGAGATTGGGAGTTTTTGACAAATTGAACGTTGAAAAACCCCGTGAGTCAGGAAAACCGTTAAACTTTCACATCGTGACGGGGTCTGTACAAGTAAACGTGGTTCCAATCACAGGGTTGCCATCAGCCGTCAACGCGCATCTGACAGGAAAACAAAGCTCTCGCCAGCTGCAGAGTGCGCAAGAACGGGGGTGTGGTGGAAGTGCCATTTGTGGGTTGTGGGGAAGATCGCCGAGCCCGGCCAATCAGTGCGGCAGGTTCCAGTCGAGAGTGATTGCGCGGCGCCCACGTTGAGAGTTTGACGATCCCTCCCACCCCGCCCCGCCCTAGCAGCTTGCATCGTTTCTGTCGCAGCATGGTGGACTCCCCGAGTAGGGCCCCCATTTACCCCGTCTGCCGTGTGAAGGAGGCTCCCCCCGTCTTGTGCTCCATTCTTGTGCCCTCTTGTGCCACCACACAGCAGCCCCTCTTCTTCTTCATGTTCCCTTTTCCTCGTTTTCCTTTCTTGTGCCTTCCTTCACTGCATCATCGTAAAACGCAGTCTTCTATACGTGCTTTTCTTTACCCCCCTCTCTCCCTACATCATATTCTGGGTTTGGATGTCAGGATAAAGAACACAGCCTCATTATTTGATTCATGATTCAGCGATATAAATTCATGATTTTATTGTTTATTTGATATAGGATTCAATGAAATGACAGCTAAAACTTTGTGGGGACTTGGAATGTGGTGTGAAAAACACAAGTTAACTTGATTTGTTTAGGGTTTGGTTAGGATTTCATAAAGGTTTGTTAAGGATTTGGTTAGGATTTTATTAAGGTTTGTTTAGGATTTGGTTAGAATTTAGGATTAGTTTAAGATTTGGTTGAGGTTGGTTTAGGATTTGTTTAGGATTTTATTAGGGTTACATTAAGATTTGATTAAGATTCATTTAGATTTTTTTTTAATATTATTTTTAAATATTTCTTTGATATTTCTTTAGGATTTTATTTTTATTATTTTTTTGAGATTTTTTTGATATATATATATATATATATATATATTTTAAGGTTAATTTATAATTTTTTTATGTTTCTTTTGTGATTTCTTCAAGACTTCTTTTAGATTTGATTAACGATTAGTTAGCATTGTTAAGATTTAATTAGAATTTATTTAGGATTCCATTAAGATAGTTGTGACCTTGTTGTTGCAAATTTTATTTTATCTTTTACAACCAAATGCGTAATGCATTTTTTAGCAAACTTCACAAAATACAAGAATGTTAGTAATGTTATCTATAATAATAAGAATACCTTGGTAGTAAGTAAACCATTTATTTCTTTGGAGAAATAAACATAGAATATAGGTGATGTTGTCTGCAATAATGATGTTTTAATGGTAAGAATGATGTTATAGAAAATTTCTTATTTTTAGCAAGTTTCTTCTTTGTATTACTGTCCAATGAATTCAACTATTCTATACTTAATTTTCATTAATTGTTGTTTATTTCTTCTAAAGAATAATCACATACTATCTCTGTATTATTCTCTAAAAAGTTCAATTACTCTATATTCAACCTCTATTCAATGTCTTTTATCTCTTCTAAGAGATAATCATATTTTTTTCTTATCTTAACTAATTTGTGGCTTGTAATTTGAAAATAATTATCTACTCACATTAGCAACTAAACTTTGTTTCATTATATAATCAAAATATGCATTCAAAATAAAGTTGTATTTAATTTATATTGAATTAGAACTAAAGAGTTGATAGGAGAATTAACATTGTAAAGTTGACAAGAAATCAACTTCATAATATGATATGAAAAGGAGGATTTACAATTTTGTAAAAAATTAGTATGCAATTTTGAAATTATTCCATCAAATCTATTAATTGAGTGAATTTTATAATTTTTTTAACATGTCTATTTATCATAGCCTATTTCATGCACATATAATAGATACACACATGAATAGAAATAATGTAGAATAAAGTAAAAAATTTTAAACCAAAATACATAACATCTCTAATATGAGTCATAGAATTGACTCATAGGTATATTTTAGTATAAAAAATATACTTAGGATATTTAAATTTACTAATTTAGGATAATAATATAGAAATTTTGGAATAAATAAAAAAAAATAGAATGTTAATTGCAAAAATGGATCTGTTGTAGAATTATCTTTGATAAGGAATTTTAAATTACATATCTTTCTTTTAGATTAGTCAATAGAAATTTATGATTTTTTAATAGTAGTCTTATTTCCATTAAATATTTAATTTAGTTAGAAATTAAATGAGATCCTTGATCCAAAAAAATCCAAAAAAAAAAAAAAAAAAAAAAAAAAAACCTTTGTAGCTTTAGACAAATGCAATAGAAGAAAAATAATAGAATAGAAGAGAAAAAAATTGAAAATAAGGAAAAAAAAGAAAATAAAGAAAATAAAAAATAAATAAAAAGAAAATCAAGAATATAAGAAGTTATCCTTGAATGGCAACATCCTCTTAATTGATAGGAGTTGGGGCCACCTTGAATCTCTCTCTCTCTCTCTCTCTCTCTCTATATATATATATATATATATATATATATATATTCTTAGATAGAAAGAATTTTGAGCTTCAATTGCTATAGAATTTATCTTGGTATTTTTTTTCATGTTTAAGTGGTAGCATTTTTTCTTCATTTTGTTGAATTGTTGTAATGCCGCATCCTATTTTTTTTCTCCATACAATCAATGTGAAACATGCATGTCAGAGTGGCATGTCTAGAAGGTATTTTAAAGAGTCATATTATTGCGATTAGTACATCATCGCACAGAATTGTGAGATTTTGTCTTATTTGATATTGTTCAATAATAATACTCTTGATGCTAATCATTGTTCTAAAGAAATTGTTGTGATAGTGATGTATGATCAAGTTCTCATTGAAGTCTTTTTTAAGCTAGAAGATTAGTAGTGTTGTTCATTTTTATTTATCTAATATTGATGTTTGGCATTAATAGAAGTGTAGTGCCTTTTTGCTTGATTGTTAAGCATTGAGGTGATAGATATGGAGTCCAAGTGACATTGACTCTCCCTCCTTGGTTGTTGATTTTGAAGATTATTCTACTTGCAGTTGTTGTAATTAATCAAAGATAAGCATTGTAATCAATGCAACCAACATGATGTAACAATATTACAAAAGACTTATTATTATTCAACAAAATAATTCCACTAAACAAAGATCCACAATGATCTAAAATTGTTGCTATTAACTTCTTACTTGTGGTCAACTACTAATGAGTTATGTTATTATTTCTAAAAAGATTCATATTAAGGATATGAATCTTGAAGAAAGGAATCTCTAATATACTCTTATCTCACTAAAAAGAACTAAAAAGTTGCTCAAAGATAATATAGTAGTGAATTAGAATGGCTATTGCCAAAAACAAAAAGACTAAAAAGTCTTGAAACAAAACTAAGGACTAAAAAGGCATTGAAAAGAGTAAAGAATGCTTTACTCTTCCCTCCATATATATTCTTAATTAGGAACTACATAGCAGTGTCCTATAAGATCCCTAAAACGTGTTTACTTTGCAAAATATTTAACTTAATTTGTAAGGCAAGTTTTTTATATGTACACCACACACTTAATTTTTTCTACAAGCTATCAATACGTGGTTAACTTTTTGACCAAGTTTCTAACCAATTAATCAATTACAAATACATCTAAAGTCAAAGCATTGTCTATGAAGCTTATAAGAAGTTTTTTCTAAAAGATGCTATGAAATTAACCTATATTTATCTATTTTTATCTATTTCTACCTAATTATATAGATATTTACTAGAATACATATGTATATTCATTGTTGTATTACATGTTGTTTTGCTCAAGAATGCACCGGGCACCTAGTTGTAGAAGGTGAGATTGTGTTTCACAGGTAGCCAAGAAACCCTAATAGGTTTTGTCCATACGAGAAGAATATAATCTGAATTTTAATTCAAAAAGGCTTAAAACACTCTTCTTAGTAGTCTTAACCATATATAATTCTCAATTACCTTATTACTTTCATATTTAAGCAATTTAGATTTTTCTTGTAAGTCCAAATCTAATTAGTGAGCTTTAACAAGCTATAACATCCAATCTGATTATTTACTTGATGTGAAATTTGGCAAGCAATTGTCAATGTAAGTCTTCTATATGCTTAAGAATTTTTAGCCCAATCCAACTTACAAATTGTGAGAAAACCTTCAAAAATTGCACTGGTGTCACTCGGCTGCCAATTTGAAAAGTGAAACAGAAATCCCAGCAATGATTTCTCCCTTTCCAACCGTTAACTTTGTCTCAAAATTGGTGTGTAGCTTGATTTCTCTGGAAAGAACTTCAAGCTAGCTCTCAAACCCTAATATCCGATCTTCAAATGCTTCCCTATTTTACCCTAGGCCATCGTTTTAGTGACTAGAAGTCTGATTTCGACCTTGTCTCACAAATGGTCGACCCCCGGGTATCAATCTAACCTATCTTAAGGTTTTTTTTAGCCCAATCCTACTCTCAACTTAACCCTAGTACCAACTATACTAATTATTTACCTCTTCTAACCTGATTTTATTAATTTATGGTCTTTGTAAGGTAGTAGAAGACTCTCTACAACCTAAAAGATAAAATTACTAACTAACCTTCAACCTACTAACTATTAAGATAAGAAAATAACCTAAGAGGCTTTTATAAAAGCCATGTTTAGATACCTCAAATTATAATTGAACTAAGATAATTAGATATTAATTAGAAATTCAACTTTGATTACAATTTCACTATATATTTGTATTACATCACAACCCTGTGATATTACTTTCTCTTCTAAGAACGAGTTCCACATGGAACAATCATCATAAATTGATGAAATCTATGATGTGGCAAATTATAGTTGATACATACTTTGATCTTTGTTCTCTTCAAAGATAGTTAATAGATCCTCTTAGCCATCAATAGTGTTTCATACAAGGACAAAAAGACCACCTTATTATTTCATCATTATTCATATCTTTGTAATTTCCTTCAATTAAAATATTTAGAATTTTATCAAGAGTTGCTCCTATCTCTAATAAAATCACCAAACATCAAGAGTTTCTTTCAAAGTCTTCATATCAAATATATTGTATCTTTCTATCTATTTGAGGAAGGATATATTGTTCTTAAGGATCTTCATTTTCATTATGTCATCTCAAAGATTGTGACAATTATAATGTCTTATTTGATAAGTCAGCAAGTAAAAGCTCTTGGGTTGAATCTATTGGTTATTGGTTTTCCATCTCTTTAGCATC